TGTTTCCCAGTGCATTACAACACCCCGTAATAGTCACATTTTCAGCGTGCTCATTTGCTACCATGTGAATTCGTTTCGCACCCCTTTGTCCAATTACTTGTTGCTGGTGGTGGACAGTCAAACGGCAACCCTTTTCATCCATGTTAAATAAGTTTTTGGTAAATTTCAGAAAGCTTGGTGAAATAATCGTTTGCAATATATTTGTTCAACTTTTGCGCTCTTCCTGGGTTCATTAATTGAGCTTTCCGTTTAGAAAGTTGCGGGTTTCGTTTCAAGAATGCGTAAAGCCAATCTTTACCGGCGACTTCCATGCTCACACTAAAGGAATGTTTAATGTAGTTTTCGACACAAAATTTAAAAACTGATGACCTTACCAAGATTGGAGCTAATGGTAGTCCTATTTCACATAAACGAATAATTCGTTGAGCAAACTCATTTTATTGTTCTTTCGTCAATACTGCAGCCCTGCCTAACTTTCTTTCTGCCTTTCTCAATTTAAGGTGGTTTCTAAGCGTCCTTCTGGGGATTCTGTAGCGATCTGCGGCCTCCCTCTAAGACAGTACTCCGTTATTTACCGCATGTATAGCCCTTTGTATCTGCTCTGAGGTCCACTGTGCACGTCGTCTAGGCATATTCTTTGTATCTGAAAAAAAAAGAAAAACATTTATCATCGTTTAATAAGGCCCGGGCCTTAATCGCAGAATATTAATGGGCCTTAATAGCCGACATGACAATTAAAAGTTATAAATTAAAAAACTCAACAATCTCTTACCTTTTCGCAATTATTTTTTTGTCGAAATATGCGGTAGGGACCGAGGAACACCATTGGCAGTAGTAGCCGAATAAAAAATCTTTAGAAACACTAAATCGTAAACAAAACGTGGCGCGCGAAATTTATAACACTGGACGTTGCAACACACATGCTCACAACCTTGGATAGTACTGACGAGTCTGATGACGATTCTAAATTGATCTTTTCATCATGTGATGAGCGCAAGCGCAGCCACCGTGTTGAAATAGCGGTAATTCAAAAGTTTCGTACTGTTTTGATCGACAATGGCTGGGAAAGCAATATTATCTCTACAGAGAAATTAATCATTAGAAAAAATCGTTGATGGTGATTAACTTTTTTAAAACCGTATGGAAGCGCATAGTTGTGTGCAGTTGAAAAGGTGGTTGAAGTGTCTTGGACGTTTGTTACAAAGAACAAATTGGACTGATTGAAAGGTTAGGTGTATCAATACTTCTTAACTGTGTAAAAAATTAATAAAAACAAATAATAATTATAATTCTATTCTAATTAATTATGCCAACCAACTATTATTACTTGCATAAACACTTTAATTGACATGAAAGTTAACCACAAGTATAATTTATAAAATAAATTATTTAATATTTTGAGGATAACATGACATTTTTAATCATATTACTATGTATAAAGTAGTATTTAAAATTAAAAAAATATTGTTTAACCACTTTCTCCATGAAAATGCAGTGAACAAATATAACTATCTTTAGTAAGATCATTAATCCATCGAAAACCGTTGTCACATTTTTTTACACCTAATGCACATTTTGAACATGTTTTAATTGGATTTTGCCTGATAATTTTTTACGATATTGCAGCCAAGGCTTTGGAAAATTAATAAAATAATATGTATAGCCTTTGAATGAATATACCGTGTCACTTTTACACAACAACACCGTTTCGTTGTTCCTTTCCATACAGTTAACATAATTATTTGCAAAAATGTATTTTTCAATTCAGACACTAAACTTATTATTACTTTACTTTTTCTTCCTTTTTTAAATGAATATAAGTACTTAAATTATTATTTATTGATTATAATTTTTTTCACTTGGGCATTTTAACATGCTTGTTTACAAAAACAGTACGAAAAAGATGGCAGATACTGACGCATGCGCACAAAAAAAAATTGTGATGAAAAGGTCTATTTCAGCGTTCAGCGGGGTCGAAATGCGCTAGTTCAGTGTGATGTCATTTTGGTTCCACTGACATTTAATTCTAACCAAACTTTTAACAAAAACATCAATAAATTTGACATATACGTTTTTACTGTTTTTATTTTATTTCAAAATATTGTTTACAGGTTATAAAAAATAGTTTAAAGGTATGTAATTGGTAACTAAACGATTGTATATTTGATACATGCTATCTACTTACTTTAGGAATATATTTATAAAAGTGAAAAAAACGATATAATTTAGGTAAACAAAACGCACTCAAAAAATCTACTGTCACTTTAATTGTCAGTGGAACCATAATTACATCATCACTGAACTAGCGCATTGGCGGATATGATTGAATCGTGGTGGGAGTTGAATCGGCATTGCCAGGTTTAATAATACGAGTATCATGGAGGAAGGATAATTAGATGCTTCTATTTTGTGAGATTATTTTTGGGCTTTATTAGGCGCCGGGCCTTATTTGCCGCAGGTACCTTATAAAAAATCACAGTAAAATAAATACACAAGGCGTATTTTGAAAAAGAAAAGTTTTTATTTTACACATTCTAAATCATTTTGGGTTGAGACGGTAAATACGTTTGAAAGTACAAATATACTGCACTTTTTTCCAGTAATAAAAATCATTTAATTAGTGAGAGATATAATAAAGTTAGGAAAAAAAAAATAGTCTGGCTAATCTGTAAGTATGGGTAATATGTCTGGCAGGTTAACAATCCCACATATTTCACGGATATCTCTAAAAATGTCCTTCAAGGACATAAAGGACGTGCTCTTTTGGTACTCAATGAACGTGCTAATGTCCCATTTCCGTCCATGGGACATCCGAAAAGGACGTCATAGGAACCTTTTCGGGACGTAAATCAGACGTCCGATGGACGATATTTAACCATAATCCATAAATGGTAATAACAAAAAGTTAAAAGGGCTTTATTTAACAACTTTTCAGTTTACAAAAAAAAAAACAGGAAATAATTAAATTTAACACACAGCGCTGGTAAGATGAAACCTTGGGTCCTACTTATAGCTTGTGTCGACATAACGGAGTTTGATAATTTCGTCAAAATTAGTTTTGTTCCAACTTTCCGCCATTAAGGTATTTTCTTTCCACTAGCGGCTACCGCCACTTATTCTCACCTCAATACAAAACACTCATTTCACTTTATAACCACTTTACCACTAACATAAAAAAAATACAAATAACACTATATGACTTTCTTTTTTCTTCATTAATCTAACTCACTTATATAAATTAATTATTTAATGCCGAAAATTGTAGCTGTTGTTCATTTGAAAATAAATGATAGATTGGGTTTCCTGTCCTCATACTCTTGCAAAAACAAAACGTTGAATTTCAAGTTATCGATTAAAAGACCAACGATGCTAGTACATAGAAAGTCCCATTAACGTCCTGGACTCGGACCAAAAACTAAACGCTTTGTCGAAACGGGACCAAAATAGGACGTCCTAGTGTTCACGGTAATCGGAAGTCCAGTGGACGTCCTATTTAGGCCCGGGACAAACCGGACCAAATCAGGACGTCCAGTGATATCTGGGTTTAAATAAAAATTATCAAAGCCATTCACCTTATTTTCGCAGTTCTAAAAATTTGTCAGATGATAGTTTATATTATAATTACAGCTGCAAATATAATCTGGCTAATGTGAAACACCCCCAAAGCCTTGCCAGATTCATCCAACGCTCGTCAGGCGCGCTAAATTCGGCATGTTCAATTATACAGGTGATTGTTGTCATCTCTACGTGTTTTTAGTTTTCATAATTTATGATAAGAAAAGTATTGGTTTAGGGCGAAATTTCACTATTTCCAAAACACCCTTCTCAACGTTTTGAGATCCCAGGAATCCAAAAAACATTAGTCATCAAAAAACATTATTCGCGAATAACTTTTTAACTATCACAGAAAGTTGTATAGTTGTTTTTTGTAGAAAATTTATTTCCCTACAAAATCGATCTCTTGACATTCTTTTATATCTCCCTTAGTTCTTGAGCAATATTGTAGAAAACTAAACTTCCAAATTTAAATTTTGCATTTAATTGGTTTCCATCCACAATATTAATTTTTTTATTAAAATCTGCGATTAACTTATCTATATTGTTCATACAAAAATCTATATCTAAGTATTTTTATATATTTTCTTTCGATCAAAAAAAAAAAAAAATTTATTCACTTAACCTTTTCTAAAATTAGCAAAAACTAAGTGTAAAATGAGAGGAAGTATAAAAGGAGTACTCAGTACTTACTTGAACTTCTTCTGATGATTCCAGCTCACCAGGCCTTTGTCTCCAGGGTAGATTCCCACAGGAAAGTTCTCGACACCAGAGTTGAAACTTACGTAAACTTCGGAAAATCGGACCCGATACCGTGGCTTTTCGCGAAACTACTGTGTCAATCCTACTACGACTGCGCCAGTTAAATTTATTTAACTCAAAAATAATTTTTTAAAAAACAAAAATTTACTTTATGAAAATTAAAGACTATTTATTTGACGTTTACTCTACAACAATCTAAGCTGGAATGAATTTTATTAATGTATTTTACACGATAATGATAAATGCAAAGTTAACAGTTTACGGTTTTATATTTTAATAAAATCAACGTTTCTTCTTATATAACTTGCGTTAATCCAAAAATTTTTTTTTTTTTATATTTCTAATTTTTTTTAAAAACTAATAATAAAATTAGTCACGGTTGTTTCAATACTAGTATTTTAAGTTTTCCGTTCAACTTTTTAATAAATTATGTGCATTGAAGGCTCATTGTGTAACAGCAGTGTTCCAGTTCCACAGTGAAATAAGTGCATTTTTTTTTTAAAGACTTTAAGTTCAACACTTGTTTTTTTACAATATAGTGTTCTTTACAAATAAAAGATTTAACTTCAACAGGAAGGATCAACAGTGATCAATAAATAGGGTGGTTCAGTGTTAACAACTGACCCTACATCAGACACCTATAGGAATACATGTAAAATAATAGGAATGAATAAAATACCAAGTACAATCAGATATTTAATGAATGCCAATAAATACATGTAGTATTCACTGAAGGCAGTGCCTTACTTCATAATTAACTTTCTACCCTGTATACGAAAAAACGTCCAGAATTAAAATCCATATAATATGAAAACAAATGTTATGGTTATTGTGCGAAAGACAAAAGAGTAGGAGACAAAATTTCATCATGAAAAAAACGTTAAACGAACCTTAACGCTAATAAAAAAGAAAAACTATCACTATTGATACATATTTTTATTCTATAAATACTGTTTTCTTACTTAATATTTAAGTAACTACCAAGAAATGTGAAATAGATAAATCAAAAAAATCAATAAAATAAATGCAATTAATTTAACATTAGAATCGACAACATTGGGATAAATAAAAATAGATGAAAAATTAATAAAAAATATTGCTTAATGTCAGTAAAAAGAAACCTGAAATTTATAAAATATCAGTCAATGTTTAGTTCCTTTTTCTACACTTCAGGATTCTTTAAACCATTATACCCAATAAAAATAAATCAAATCGAACAATTAATACATAAAGTACATAAATATACTAATAAAACACTATAAATTGCCACAAGGTAAAATACCGCTTGTTCGTTGAAAGTATTTGATATTAAATTTTTACACCAACACGAAGTTCAATTTTAATAAGACCCAGCCGTCAACTCAGTCAAATTCCCGAAATAAATAACATTACCAGCCTTACCAATTTTTTTTAGTGATATCAACATTCTCTCAAATAATTCTAATGGAAATAATAAATAAACAATCGTAGAAAATAAAAAAAAAAAAATGTATGTAAAAATAAAAAAAATAGCTTAAAAATACAAGCTGCCATATTTAAAATTATATTCGTTTTAATACTTATTTGACATTTGACAGACTAGCTCTTACCTTTAAAATGAAGCTTCTTAGTAATTGTTTAGCACCACTGAACAGGAAGCAACAAAAATACACACTATTAAGAACAAATATAGAAACAAATTAATATAAAAAAGAAATGCGATTACAAAATAAATTATCATTAAAAATATAATTATTTTGATATTTTAGCACATGAACAATTAATTATCCTTAAAATAGTAACTAAAGTCAAATAATATAGATTTCTTTAAACAATCAATTTGTATGAAGGGATATATTTGAAAAACTTAATAATAAAATAACTAAAACAATAAAATAACTATTCAACTTCATATGTGAATTAAGTCAATTGTCATAATCTGCCACAGTTGTCATTCTGGTAGCTAACTCCATGGCACATACTGACAACTTTGACAGATTTCTTTAGTTACTACCTTAAACGACCGATTTTGGTGGTACAGTCTGTCATTAGAAAACTAACATCGTTTTACAAGTCGGTATCGTACCAAGCAGCGGCGTGGTTATTATCTTGGGGAGGGGTGGGGAGTTGATCAATGGTATCAAAATTGAGATCTTGGTCTCCGCTGGTAACGTCCATGGCGTCGATTGCGCTATAGGTCGAACCATTTCCGCCTCCGTGAGAGCCGATCTCTAAACCCTGCATGTCTATGGGTATCTGGTCATACCCTGTAAACGATAGAACAAAAATAAGAATTTGGACTGGAAAAAATGGATTGCGTTTATTTAAAATACAGGGTGTTCCTAAATTGGTGCACCAATCTTTAAGGTGAGGTAATACACCTAAAAATAAGAAAAAAAAATCCTATAAACATAACTTCCAAAATGCCCAATCAGTTAAAAAAAAATTATTTTTTTTCGAATATATCCTGAAACGTTTGTCGCACAGGGATCAGTATCTTTAAAAAAAAATACTTTTTTTACTGCTTTGCTTGAAACATTAGCCGAGATTTTGACGTTGACGAGGATTTTTGGCCCTAATTTCTACGCCAGTGGAAAAAAATTGTTTTGGCCCAAAAAATTTCTCTTTGAAACAGATTATGAAAAATAAGACGATTATTGAAAAATCATTTTGGTAATCTTTAACAAAACGAAAATTATTAATCTAATACAAAAAGTTTACAACGTTTACAGCATGTAGTCTTTTACTGAAATATATCTGGATTCTTTGAAAAATTTGTGGAGAATTTCGAAATTTCTCGAATGCCTCAGTTATTTGTACCAAAGTTGTTCGCCTGTGTTGATAGGGACGAAATAAAAGGACTAAAAACGTATAGCTTTTTTTCCTATTTCATTAAATGTCTAAATAATAATTTAAGGTTACGTCACATGATCCACGAGTGCATCAACACAACTCGATGGATTTGATAACAACCATCTGATAATTAAGTTGAATTAAAGAATATGATGTATGACTCATCTAAAACTTGGTGATGGATAAAAAAATAGTTTTGATGAATGTTGGATGGCATCGATGAATATTAGAAAACGCCTATATACGAGAGTCGAATGTATGATACCCTCTGATCTTTAACAGTGAAAAATGCAACAATTTATGTTTTTAACTGACTAACCAATCATCTTTTAGAATGATAACATCATTTCTCTTGTGGGATATTTTTATTGGCTACGAAGTGACGATTATATATCACAAGGGAGTGACATAATCGTTTTGCCTATGTCAGCGTGGTAATGCAATGTTGAGTGTTATAAACTCTGAAACTGTTTATATTATGAGTTTTTGTTTTGCTTGATATTAATAAAATTGTTGATTATATGTTCTAAATGTTTTCTCAATTCCATGTATTTTACCATAAAACGTCTTTGTCTAATATAGAGCTTTGGAGATCAAAGGCCGTTTATAAGCATTCTTTAAAATACGGATCTGTCATCTAATCTAGTGGACTGTATTTCCATTAATTAAAATTACCTGGTTGTAGAAGGATTCCCATAATCACACTCTCAGCTTGTCTTAAATTATGAGAGTAAAAATAGTGGTGATGTGGCAATTCAAATTTCGCATTTTATTTTAACTTTATTTAATAAAAAAATAAGAACTGCTTACATGCATAACTACACACCACAACGAGAAAGAACGTCGGAACTAAATTTACAAGTAGCAACGTGTGACTTGGTCAGAAAATTATTCACTTAAATTCCATTGTATATGTCCTAAGTTGTACATTTGGTGGCTCAACTGCCTCATGTTGCATAAGTAATTCACATTTTAGCAGCGAAAATGCTTCTCTTGTTCTATTTATATGTATCCCTACCCGCGGCATATCGAACTTTCTGGTCCATGACGTAACATTTAACGCGGGAGAGCTTGGATTGCATCAGCTTTTCATATATTGTACAACTAGACAACTGAAAATTCTCGATTATACGAGAATTTTCAATCGTCGAATTGTATAATAACAATACTCTCCCTAATTCACCCCCTTATGAGTGAATTTCAACCCCTGAAGTCGACTGAACGACTTGTGTAGGGGAAGGGACGGCTATTATTATTATTATTTGCCGTGGCGCTCCGGGGCGACTTAAAGATGATTGATGATGCCATTCGACTTACAGGTGTGGAAAACCCGGAAAACCTCACCCACCATCATCGAGACGGTATTGTATGGCGATTTTTTAATCTGCATGTCATATCAACAGAAATTGAATTTCTATTAACACGGCACGCATCAAATCCTAAACCGAACCATGCAAGGTAGACTATATCATGAAATCAAAAATCATCGGCAGAAATATTGTTATAATAAGCCATGATGAAAAATTATAAAAAAATTGACAACTGTCAAATTTTGAAGTGGAGATCTAGTCGCAGTTTTGACAAGTGAATATACGAACTCTTGTATATTCGATTATAGGAGGGTTTGTATATTCTATTTACGTCAAAATACGTAAATACCCGCTGTAATACGTGATAAAAACGACATATCGAGCATTTTCATTGGTTCATATTTCAATGGTGTAACATTTTAAAAATGTTATTTCAAATGATAGCCATCCCGTATGGATTGATTTGTATTAACATGATTTAAAGTCTAATTGTTGGCGCAGTCATCATTACGGAGAAAGCGAGATTTCACGTAGGGGGAAGCTAAGTTTGAATTTATTTACCTACTATCTTTTGTAATTCAGTCGTTGATCTGAAAACAAGTGCCTAGACTGCAATAGTGGAGTTTTTAATGTCACTGAAAAATCTAAAAGTCACTTTTGAATCAATGTGTCTATTAATTCCTTTTATGTTGCTGGAATTTCATATTAATTTTTATTGGTATGAAAAATGTATTAATTTTTTGAATGAAAATTTTAAAAAAGAATATATTTTTGTTTAGAGAACAAATATTTGGCAGTCTACGATTCGTAAATACCTAAGCCGTACCTTAACTCATTGAGTTAAATCGAAGAATCAGCATCCTGATCACCACACTGTAGCTGAGGTGCCGATCTAATGAACACTGAGGTTGTATTATGCCTATTTTATTTGTTATGTATACAATCATAGACCCCAACTGGTAAACATATCCATTACAATGGTAACATTTTCTGGATAAAATCTAATAGACAATCTCAGTGTTTACAACTGTTTCTAAATTCACTAATTCTTTGAATTGGATTTCTGATATTACGTGTAAATTCTATTTGGTATTTGTACAAGTCGATGAATATTTCATACAAAACCATTTAGCTATGAAAAAAGTTTTTTTAAAGACACTATTTGTACAAAAGCTGCTCTGTGCGGAGATATTACAAAAAAAATATTTTCCTAATTTTCTCAAAAACGGTACATTTTAGAAGTTAGGTGTATGGAAAACTTTTCATATTTTTAAATGTAATCTATCTTCCCTAGAAGTTTGTTACACCAATTCAGGGACACCATTGTATGCTAAGCGAGATAGAAAACCCAGCAGGAATGATTCCATTTTATCAATTTGCTTATTGCGAGAGCCAGAAACGATTTCAACACTCTTGCTGGGTCTTCTATTTTATATACAACTTAGTACATTATTAGTCATATGATCGTATTTGGATATATTAAACTTAAGAAATGTCCTGAAAAATCAGTAATTAGTCACATCCATTTATGAATTACATTTATGTCAAAATAATTCTTAAGAAATCTATCACATGGGTATTTCATTTGTTTATAACATAAGTAAATAATGGAAATTATTGAAGATATATATTAATAATCTTATATCATCCCATATGAGTGTGACTTAAATGTAATTCTAAAATGATCCAAGTAAAACGAGTAACAATCAATATTGATAAAACAAGCTTCAAAACATTTCCAATTTATTGAAAATATGTCATGTGAAGTTTTAAAGGTAATTCGAAATTATGTTACAAGATTATGATGAACTCCTTCCTCTTAATATTTATTCACAACATAAAAAGCATTGTATTAATAGAACAGCATACATAATGACAGTCTTTATATTTTTCTAAGGTAATCTTCATTCTATTCCGAAATATTGGTCTATTTCAAAACATTGATTTTTTTGGATTTTTAAAATATATACGTTTTTAATAAGGTGAAAACAAACAATAAAAATTAAATTTGCAAAAAAGTGATATTAAAAATGAGTTAATAATTCTGTGCAAATGTAAATACATTTTTAGTCTGCAAAAAAAACATTTTTATAAAGACTGTGAGAAGTTTAGTTGATTAGGAACACAATTGTTATTAAATCGCTATTAGAAAAAACAAAAATGCAAGACATTACAAAAAATCTACATGTATGGATGCAGGTTAGCAATTTTAATCACGACAAATATTTTACTGGTTATTAGCGACTTAAAAAAGGCAAAAATAAAATGTGCATGCTGAAAATCATCTTACAAACAACTACTACGTACATTCACCTTAAATGTTAGAGAAGGTTAGAAGATAATGCTCCCTTTAAAATCCATGTCTGGAGTAGAAAAAAAGTATTTTTTAAACAAGTCTAAACAATATAAAACTAAGAAAAAAATATCTGAAATTAATAAAATAAAAATAAGAACGGTTTTTCTTATTTTGCATATTATCTAATATTATCGTTTAGTCTATGATAATAAAATAAGAGTTATGTAACGGCTGGTACCATGATCTAATGACTATTGCTATATAGCAACCATTAATTATAACAAAATAACAATGGAGTAATAAAATCTTGTTTTTTACCTAAGCCCTAAGCAGCCCTCAAGAGCTTTCAAAGCAGCGATATACAGGATCTTTTGTGTATTCACTAATTCACTAGATGTAATATTTTGTTGGCTCAATAGAATCAGACTTGACAAAGTTTCGAATTTTTTGGAGGGTAAATTAGAAATATTGTCAGGCGATGATAAATGTGATTATAGTGCACAGTTTTCTTTGCATAATTATAAAACATACAAGTCCCACTATTCCTTTTACCCACTAACATATGAATTTTAAAAAGAAAAGTGAGAAAATCGGTTTAGATTCGATATCTGGAAATTGCAATTTTTTTGAAAATGTGAACATATCCAGTGGCAAACGAATGATCTTAGAATTTATTCTAGTACAAGCTGGACTTGGAGTCCTTCTATAGGATGCTCAAGAGTGGCTTACGGAGATTTTAGAGAAATGGGGGGGGGGGGGGGGGGGGGAGAATGTGAGATGGAATCTGATTACTTAAAACCTACAAATTTGACCGTCAGTCGTCCAATTGGTAGAGGCGCTGAGAATACGCCATTTTAGTGATGATGTAATTATGGTTCCACTGACAATTAAAGTGACACTAGATATTTTAAGTGCGTTTTGTTCGTTTTGTTTACTCAAATTATAATTATATCGTTTTTTCACTTTTATAAATGTATTTCTAAAGTAAGTATACAGTATGTCCCCCTAAGTTGGAATCATATGGAAAACTTTTTTATTATTAATTTTAGCAAAAAAAAGAAATGCATTATCTAAAACCTAGAATTCAGTCATCAAATATCAAATTTTTTGTGGTATACGAGGTTTGTCAAAAAGTACGTTTATTTTTGACAAAATCGAAAATTTTCATTAAGAAAAGTTGATTAGAATTGAAAATTACATTCAAATATGCAATTACACCGATCTATATGAAAAATCAGATTTTTTCTAGATTTTGCATTGATCCACCTAATTACGGTAATCCATAATTTTTTCTCCCTCTTCTCTACTATAAACATGATACGCTTTCCTTTTCTTGATGTTTGTGAAGCAATTTTCTTAATGAAAATTTTCAATTTTGTCAAAAATAACCGTACTTTACTCTTGAGCAAAATTCATACTTTTTTTTAATTTGATATCTGACGAGTGTATTTTAAGTTTTGGGTCATGCAGGACTTTTTATCAAGAATAACTTTTTTTCCTAAAATTAATAATAAAAAAGTTTTCCATATGATTCCAACTTAGGGGGACATACTGTATAACATGCATCAAATATACAATATTTTAGTTACCAACTATTTTTTGACTTGCAAACAATATTTAGAAAAAAAAAAAACTTTAACAGTAAAACATATTTATTGATGTTTTTGTTAAAAGATTAGTTAGAATTAAATGTCAGTTGAATCAAAATGACATCACACTAAACTGGCATATTCAACTCTGAAGTTTTAAGTTCGATCCCTGACCTATGCACTAATTTCTATTCTTTTTTCAGCTTTTTTGAGTAGCCAATAAAAAAATTTAAGTTCTCCCAAATTGGGATATATTTTTATTCCTCTATGTAGCGTAGCTATATGTTTGAGTATGATGGAATTTATCACCTTCAGAAGTATATTTTTTTACAATTTGATGAGTTATTTTAAAAAAATTGTGCTTTACATCACTTTTAAAAAGACTGAATAATTAATATAACGAAATCAGGTGAGTACTTTCGGCTTTACAAATCCATCATCATAGCCTTCGTTTCGTATTTTTAACCGACTTCAAAAAAGGACGAGGTTCTCAATTCGTCGCGATCTTTTTTTTTATGTATGTTCAGCGATAATTCTTTAACACGGTGTCCGATTTCAATGATTCTTTTTTTGTTAGAAAGGGGGTACTTCAGGGGTGGTCCCATATATATTTGGTCAAAATCTAATAATTGGGTCCATGAGAAAATCCTCAAACTCTTCATTTTTTATGTATGTTTAGCGATAATGCTTGACCACCTTGTCCGATTTATGATTCTTTTTTGTTAGTAAGGGGGTACCTCAGGGGTGGTCCCATATAAATTTGGCACGTTTTTGAAGTCGTTTTTTTTTAATTTTTAATTATAACGAATTTAATCTAGATTATTAAGTGGGAAACAGTTTTATCTTACATTTCCCAAAAAATGATTCTTGATAAAAAGTTTTGCATTACTAGGGAATCCATAAGTATTAAATTTTATAAAATATAGGTGGTATACATGGAAAATAAAAATAATGATTTATAATGAGTAAAATACTTTTAAATTTTAATATAGAGCAAAATATTGATAGGAATTAAAAACTCTTTTTAATAAAATAATGTTGTGGTTAAGACTTTGAGAATTTTTCCTTCCTTTACATTAGAAACATGGATTAACCTTCTTAATAGTAATAAATATGCTTAAGACTTATTTTTAAGCAATTTCAATTTATTTTATTCGATAAATAATCCAAAATCAATGGCTAACGGATGTACTGGATATTTTTTATTTCACATAATGAATTTCGAAGTGATGCATAACTTTTAATAAAGAATATTTTTCCTGTGAAATGTAAGATAACCTTTTTCCCATTTGTATAAAACTTTTTTATTATGAATTTGATTTTTCATCAAACCTAAACAACAAATTTAAACCATTTGAGATTTTAATAGTTAAATTAAAACATAAAATAATATAAAAGCAAATAAAAAACCTACCTTGTTGTTGATAAGGTCTGCCACCATGGCTACTATGGACGCTTGGTGGACCTTGGGCATACATGTTGTCATAAGCCTGATCTGGACTTAAAATATCCTAAAAACGGCAAACAAAAATGCAACAACTCAAAATAAATAAAATAAAATTATACAAAAAATAATGCTAAATATAATTTAAATAAATAAAATTGTATTTACTACTGCTTTAATAATATGGCACAAATAATATTCAAAATACTAAAAAAAAAAAAAAAAAAAAAAAAAAAACTAAATTTGCTCTATAAAGTAGCAAATGCATGCTAAGTAAATTTAAATAAAGAAATATGTGTCTATCTGTAATAACATACTTACCTTAGTTTAATCAGATATTCTCAAAGATTAAACTATTTTATTACTTTTACTTAAATCTCATTAATTAGTTTTAAAGTATAGAATAAATTACTAATTCTAATTCATACCTGTAAGTCAGGCCCCATGCCCAGGTCGGGATTCCAAAGGTTCTCCTCTCTGAACAATGAGTTGGTTAACTCCATTGACAATCGTTTTTTATAATCTTGAGGTTTATCTTCACTCATTCTAAACAAAACGGCCGCTGCATATGTAGCGACCCCTGCGAAAAATAATTTTTATAATAACAATATTTTTGTGTACATTAAAATTGAAAATAGAAATTAAATTCAGTCAATTCTATAAAAAGGAACAAAATTCGAATACGGCATCTGGCAAAAAAATTCACAACCTTCAAAGGAGTAAAAAAATGTTTGTCCCGAGGGTAATCCTGATTATTTTTTACCTTTGTCACTCATACGCGACGTTCGGCTATTTTAAGTGACTTGAAAATGTCGTGTATAGGCAACGTTAGTACTTAAAGGGTTAAGAGTTATTTCTATTGATGCTCGAGTTTAATTTCAAGGGAAATTTACAGCAGGTATCTTCTCTAATGCCCCCACCTTAAAAAATAGACACCGTTGCATTCTTAACTAGTAATTGGCAGGCGTTAGACACATATTGTTTTTACGCGGACTTGTTGCAGTTGGTATTATTGTAATAATATTTTTAATAATAATACTTTTTCGTTAAAAAATAAGGGAAGCTATGATGAGATATTGAGTGCTAAGTTTTTAAAGGAAACCTTTTATACAACTGGCTTTGCAGTATTAAATTTAATAAACACCTCACTAGAAACAGGAACATTTTCTGATAGACTAAAAGCAAGCAAAATAGTTCCAGTCCAAAAAATTGCAAACGATACAAATGCATCCAACTTGCGACCTATAAATATACTTCCGACGATTGAAAAATTATTAGAAACCGTAGTTCATGACCAAATATTAGAATACTTATATTATGGTTTTGCAGGACGAGTCCTGACCTGGTTTGAACAGTATATGACTGATAGATTACAATGTGTAAAGCTAGGTAAATCAACATCTGAAATGCTAAAAAATAACTTAGGAGTACCGCATGGAAGTATATTAGGGCCGCTTCTATTTATCATATATTTAAATGACATTAATTATATTGAGTGTAACTTTATTAATCCATTTGCAGATGACACACTGGTAGCATGTTATGGGTATAACCTTGAGGAAATTTTAAATAAACTGAGTATTATATTGAGAGTCTTAACCCAGTTTTTAAATAAAAATAAACTTAATACTAAAAAAACGAAAGCAATGATTTTGGGAAGTAAATATAAATTAAATCAAATAAACTATAATAGATACAACATTAGAATTGAAGACATAAGTGGATAAAAGTGCAATGTTACATTTTTAAATAAATGATTGTTATGGTCTAATATACTTAAAATATGCTATATTTTATATTTGTGATAGTTTTGATTTCCAATTTTGATAAATAATGGCTATGGATCACATAGGAAGGTATCATGAGCCATATATCATAATGCAATTGTAAAACTTTAAAACTTGTTCTTGAAATATTTTTTTTTGTGACATGACACCTTTATCCACTCATGTCTTCAATTGAAAACGAGAATGTTGAATGGGTTAATGAATTTAAATACTTGGAATTTATTTTAGATGAAAATCTATTATTGAAACCTCACTGTGAATATGTATGCAAAAAAATATCAAAAAAGCTATTTTTCTTCTCAAGGATTGCTTCAAATCTCTTCCTTTTTTCTAGATTAAGTGTATAAAACTTTTATACAACCGGATCGTTACTTTATAAATTGGATAATAGCTGTTTACAAAGACTACAAAAATTGCAAAATAGAGGATTGAGAATAATCCTTCAATGTAACAGATACACACCAATAAATAGTATGCTGGCCACTTTAAGTTGGATTTCAGTCAGACAAAGATTTTATCATCTACAATAATGAAATACATAACTACAATACAAGATCTGTTAATAATTTTTATATTCCACAAACAAGACTAGCTATAGCAACAAAATCTATTTGTATATGTGGATTACGTGAATTTAATGCTTTGCCAAGTGAAATTAAAATGAGTACCTCTCTACCTCAGTTTAAAAAATGTTTAATACAATTTATTTCCAGTCCTTAAATTAAATTAACTAAATTAACTTTGTATGTTTACTTTAATATATATTTATTTTAACTTTAGTACTAAACGTCTTACTTTTATTACTGATTTTATTACTAATTCTATCAAGATTTTATTTTGTTTTATTTTATTTATTCAACTGAATTTGTGCAGACTGACGATAATATGTAATATTTTTAAAAAAAACTACTATGTATTAGGACTTCCCATATTAAATAAAGATTCTATATTCATATTCAAGCTTAAGTTTAAAATTTAGTGTTTTTCTCTTCATCTGTTTTGGAGTTATCGCGGGTACAGACATCATCACAAAATGGTCAAAATTGATTCAAGGGGGCATGAAAAAGGTAAAGATCCATTGAAAACTGGAGGTCGATATTGGATTCAGGAAAGACAAATGGGAAAGTGAAATCACTGATAATGTGAGTTTGCTCTTAGTACTTAACAAAAGATTTTGTCCATCGTTCAAAATTTTTTAGGAATCTTTTTATTATCTATTAGGTAACTAACATTTAGGTTTCTAATATGAATTTTATGATCTGGTAATTCATATTTTATTTGTAATTCTAAACAAAAAGAAACATTTGCTTAAAACTGCCTAAGCTAAGGTTTTATTTCATAGAGAAAAGTTTAGAGAAAAAACCCCCTTGGTGAGTATTTAAATATTCACCAAAGAACCTTATCAACAAGTGTCTGTTTTACTCCTTTGAGAATTGACATTTTGCAGCTCCATCTATCGAATTCTGCTTTTCCCTATACAAAAAGTACTTATTTTTGATAAACTTACCTTCATTTCTCGAATGCAGTAACTCTGTCAATGGAGCAGTCGCTCCCTCATTCTCTATCATTTCCGCCCCTTCCTTGTCGGCAGCGAGCTCACATAGGACTCCAGCTGCAACACGCTGTATATTTTCAATATCATTGAAAAGCAGTTGCACGAAGATCGGTACAACCATTTGTTGCCGAATAATGGCTCGATTGTGAGATTCTCGAGCCAAAATGTGTAAAGCACCGACGGTGCCCTCTACTATTTCCTCCATGCGCACTCCGTCCGCATAGGTTCCTGGAGGTTGGCTGCCGCCACTCGCAACGCTGGCCCTTTGCTATATATCGAAAAAAAAAAAAAAATTCAAATTTGTCTGAACATATTTTTTTAAATCACTTACCCTTTGTGTGTCTTGGAAAGCTCTCATTAGTAACTGAACCAAGTGGTGAATTGCACCATGCTCTCTTAGAGGAGCATGATTAGCTGGGCATAAAGCCAAATTCCTTATAAGTCCAATCACTGCTTTCACTAATGGCCAACGTGAAGGTGGATTCAATAATTTTACAATTACCTAAAAGAAGCATTATTAATATATAAATGTGACAATATACATCAGATGTCACTATTGTCAATGTCAATAAAAACAAATACTAACTTGTATCCCATAGTTGAGCCTGACGGCATTCTGTGCCATTTCAGATTCAACATGTCTGGATGTTAAATGACGTAAAGCACATACAGCCGGTTCTGTGATCTCTTCACGATCTCCAGCTGTGACTATAGTGCGTACCAAAGCGTCGACCCCTCCTACTTGACAAACTGTCACTTTGTTACGTTGGTTATTGCAGGTCAAGTTAGAAAGAATACCAGCTGCACATGTTACAACATTGACATCAGATGAAGCCAGTACCTGAAAAACTTATGTGTAAGAATAGTGAACCATAAAATTTTATAAGAATGTGTACAAACAAAATAATATATAACATATAAGGCGCGAGCAAATAACATAAAAAGGTCAAATGCATAGCAGACATTTATGCTAAAGCTTCTTATGAACATGCAATTTTACTGCACATGCTGTTTATTAATTTAAAGAAAGTATGTGACTTTGTAAACAACAATAAAGGGAAAGACACTGCATAAAACAATAAATAATGTAAAAGGTCATTAATGTAACCTTTTTAATTGAACATAAATTAACAAATAAGTAACTACATGCAGTTAACGAGTGAATTTCAAGAAGACAATGTTTGACATGCAAATTAAGAATATCAAAATGTAACATGAGTTAGAAGAATATATAAAATTCTCAGCTCAAACAAGTAGGAATACCAAAATGAAACTAAACATGATGTAACATAAAATCTTAAATCACTGTAAACAAAATATTTTGTTAATAAAAATATGAATTTTGCTATAATTATGATAAATCAACTATTGTTCAATCAAACCAAAAATCATTTTAAAAAAGACCTAAGTTTATATTAATTTGTTTATAACATTGTTTACCTGTAATACTTTGAGACAATATTTACATTTACCTGCACCAAGGACTGCAACAAGCTTTCTAGACCATCAACCTTAGTAGCAGCATCTGATAAGTTTCTTAGAGTCCAAAGGCAATTTTGCACCAGTCTGGTGCTTGGGTTGCCCAAATGCATAGCAAGAGCTTGCATTCCACCAGCTTCTACAATTGCTGGTTTATTACTGGAACAAACTGATAAAACCTAAAAAACAAGACTTTAGAAACTGGTAATTATCCAGAATAATGTAATCTAACCTTCAAAACTCTTGAAGTGGTCCATAGCAACTTCTCATAGTCGTAAGATCTCATAATTCTGACCAATTCGATGGGTCCTTGTGAAGCCAAAATGATCAGTTTACTTTCTTGATTACCATAAGCCAAAATTTGCAAGCAATCAGTCACGATAGCCAAAAATTTGACATTGTTCCTTTGCAACAGTGCTACCATTTTTTGGAGACCACCAGCAAGTCTCACTGCCATTTTTGATCCATCCTGATGCAACAACAGATTATGTAGAGTAGTAATGGCATAAAACAATACACTCTCTACAGGAGAACTTAACAATTTAACAAGAGCTGGGATTCCGCCACTCTTGAATATAGCTAGTAAACCTTGCCTGTGGTGTGATAATTTGTGCAAGGTACCAACAGCGCCTTTGGTAGTTTCTAAATCATTAGAATTTGAGATGGCTCTAACTAAAGCTGCTACCATCTGTGGGCTGTTCATGATAGCATGTCTAGAGGCTTCTTTCTTTGAAAGTTGGTGAACCATCATAGCAGCCTGGGACACAACAACTTGGTCTTCATCATTTAAGAGTTTTATCAACTCAGGGATAGCTCTGGTAGCTAAATCAGCATCATCTTGGTAGTTAATCAAATTAACAACTGCATGTTTTAGCATCTGACTTGGTTCAGCAAGTCGTTGGACAGCAGTTTGATGGTTTGGATCAAACTGGGTTGAAGGGATTTCTATTCCTATTAAATCAAATCATTAATTTATTCCAATTATCTATTATTAAATTATTACCTTCATCCAATGTTTCTGGAAACATTGCAGCTCTGACTCTCTGAGATCTCGTATGATTCAGCTGGTTATTCATTTCATCCACTTGTTCTTGGGTGAATCCTTGATAGGGTTGATCCAGGTCAAACAGATCCATCTCTTCTTCCTCTTTGCCAGTCAGGGATGGAACCTGTGTGGCAGCTCCAGACTGGATACCAGAATCTCCTAGGTAAGAGTTCTGCTGCCATAGCAATGTTTGTTCCTTTGAGGATTGCATTGGAAGGTCGTTGGGACCTTGATGATAACCTTGAGACACTAAAACAAAAGATTATGAAAAAAACAATCTAAAGCAGTACTACAAAAATAAATTGAGGCTACCAGTTTCGGCCCAAAGGACAGGTCTAAAAGCAACATAGTTGGTACAAAGAATAATATCAAGGAAAGTAAGCTGGGCGATACAAATAGTAACAATTAGCTGATATAACTAACTATAATTATAAAATTGGTTAATATGATACTAAGTTTATGTATATTTGATGTTCCTCGAAATTAATCTTTGTATCATTATGTTTTTTTTTTGTAATCAACTACATTAACACAATGTTACTCTTCTTTTTATTTCTGAAAAAGAAGAAATATTTGTGGTACCAATTTAGAGTAATTTTATTTATGACTTCACATCTGAGCAGTTAAATACCCTCTACGATTTAAAAAAAAATATTATTTCATAAATCATTGTTTCACATAAGTACAAAATAACGTAAAATACAGGGTGTTTCAAAAAATGATTCACAGTTACTAGGTTAAGTAGTGCTGAAAAATAAGTGGGGTTAAGTTACTAAAAAACTGTCCTAACGGCATCCTTATTCAAGATATAGTTACTACAAGAGACCAAAAAGTTTCTAAACAAAACATTCATTTTGTGATGCACTGCAAAAATTCCAGGGATTGAAAAGATGGAATGACCCCTGAAAGCCCTACAATGTAACCTAGATTCTTAATTTGAAATAAATTTCTCAGAAACTGAAGAAAATTTCAATAAGCTGTATCTCGAATGTGGATGCTTTTAAGACAATTTTGTTTACTAAGCTAACCCCATTTATTTTTCAGTACTCTACCTAACCACAATTTTTTTTTTTTCTAAAGTAGGCTTTAGAAAAATTAACGAATGTCAGATCATTTAATTCTTCTTCTTTGTCAGTTTGGATTTAATTCAAAGCCAGGAATAAATATTATGGATGTGGCTCATATTGTCTTTGTGGCCTACTTTAGAAACATTTTTTGTGGGTCTCTTTAATTTCAGTAAGTTTTCTTTTTGTTAATAATACTTATGATAAAATTTACTTTTAGACTTTAATGGTAAATATTGTAAAACATGGACTGGTACACATTTGATATTTGGGCCCCTAGTATAATATATTATTATGAAAGTTGTAATTTAAATACATTGACATATTAAAACCAGTAGACAGTTGGTGTATAAAGGAAAGGCACAGACTTTATGAGCAAATTTGAGTTTTAATATTTTTTTCCAGGCACACTGAATTTTCAATTTTTCCAAAACTAATTTTATACTGTTAACAACAGATATTTTATCAAAATAGTAAAACTACAGAAAGTTTACAATATGTCTAGGGTACTGTTTTATGACTATTTTGCCAATAACAATGCTGTAAAAAGTTTATTAAAGAATGAAGAAGTTTTTTGCTTGAGTCCAAGTTTTTAAAGGACAAGTGCAATGATAGTTGAAAACTATTTATTTTGTATTTATTAAATTTTTTTTATGGATGATCCTGCTGGATGCATTGCCTTTTAATGCCAATATCTTTAAAATTACTTGTAGCAGATATGCCCATAGACATCTAGTATATAGAATTCAGCATGTCATTTACCTATAGTGTATTTTATTGCTCGTTTCCAGCATCACTTTAGGAACAGCTCTGTTTGTTACAAACCAACAGTCAAAGATAACCAAAATATTTCAATCACTTACAGCCAAATTACTGTCATATTATACAATTCGAGTGCCACAACACATCGATTAAAACATTTCACTCCATCTACTGTATAGGGGAAGTATTACAATTTTTAACAAAACATGGGTAAATATTAGTCCTATTATAGAGTAAAATGGATTATTCATGCACTTGTGAATCGTTTTTTCATCTGAAAAATGTTGATTTTACGGACCTCGAATTGTGTGTCTAAAAGTACTCAAAGTTCAGTCTAAAAGTACTCAAACATTTCACTTTCAAGAAGGTATTATAAATATTCATGTTATACATTTTATTATTTGAATATAAATAAAACTAGTTGGAAATGCTTGTTATACTGCATGATCAGTAGACCAAATAAATTTAAACTTTATTGTAGGTCTAAATCCATTAGGACACCAATACTTGTAGGACTTAGGTACATAAAGTACAGAAATTCGACTATCACAGACATTTTAAGATTATAATGTTGAATGAAACATCTAATTTTTAAACTTGAAATTACATTTTTTTTAATATTAGCTATGAAAATATGGGGAAGAAGGACCTATTTTATTGAATAAAAACTCTAGATATGGGTTTTCCGACTATTTATAGATATTTATTTTCTTAATGCACCTAATTTAAGCTAGACACTAAAATATCTTAAATAAAGGAAAGCATATTTTTGGCAGATTTAGGTATTTAGGACCAATTTAGAGTTTTTATTATTATTAAACAGTAAATTAGTGCATAAATTGAATATTAAACATAAAATCAAAATACTTACTAGGTCTATTCTGATTAGACTGCATGTAACTCATGGTGAACTGGTGAGATTTGTCACACCTAATAACAAAAACCAAATTCTTAGAAATATATTACTCACTTCACATAATATCCCTAATTAGCATAAACTGATAGTGAATTATTATAATAATTATAGTAAATGATTGATCATTTGCATTAAATTGAATTTTTCTAATTCGAGAACAACAAAGCGGCATGGAATTAACTGAAATATAAAAATAAATAACAGTAACTGGTGCATCAAAAGAATGCACTAAACACATAAAGAGATAAGACATCCTCCATGTTGTATACAAAATTAGTAGAGTTCAAAGACTTTAATCTTCATTTATCAGTACCCTAATTAAACTTTAACATTATTATGTAATAAAACAAATAGTTAGTTCAAAACTTATTTACCTTTCACCACAAAATTACACTAATGCACTCGATTTCTCGTAAGTTTTTCGATCAAAATATTACACACACCGCACCCCAATCCAGTGAACAGTGAACTAAAGTATAACTTACACCAAAGAAATCATTTGAACCACTGGTTGCCTACCTTTTATTACAATTTAACAAAAATATAGTACTTCAGAATAATTTTATATAAAAATAAAACAATTAATTTTTAATAAATGTTTTAATAAATCAGAATAAGAACAATAAAATGTATAAAAATGTAAAACAACAATATTTTGTATAGTGTAAAACATACTTTGACACTTAGCGCCATCTATGAATCTCGCTTTCAACGAACAACATTTGACAGATTAGTTTCCTACTACGAGTTTAACTTAAAATGAAATACAGACGAAAAAAAAAAGTTGAAGTGATTTTTAAATTTTGGTTACCAAAATAATTTAAATTTAAAAAGTTAAAAGTGATGCAGGTGGTAAAGTGACTACAGCGTGTCCAGCTAAAGGTGTTGGTAAACAGGCAATTCCACGGACCCAAGCTTCTGAAATTAAAAAAGGGTTCATTTAGGCCACTTTATTGCTTTTTATGGATAACTGTGGCGTATACAAGGGTGGTAATGGGGGTTTATTTCCCCCTGGGCTTGTGGATTTGTGTTAGATTAGATTTAATTAGGACTGTGGGCCATGTGGCCTCCCCCACCTCGACCTTTTCAGTTCTATTGTGAATAGGTATCCTGTAATCGTTGTTTAAAGTACCTTGTCTAATTCGGTCTTTTTGTACTCCTACTCCACAGATTAGGAAGTAGTTTTCCGGCGTAGCTAATTTCCCTTTGGTTTTTATTCTCCACTGTGTTATATTAATATATGTATTAATTTATATTTGATAGAACCCCTAATAGATGCACATAAATTACCCCTCCCAAGCTTAAACTCTGGATATGCCACTGCGCTAGATACAAACAACCAGTGGCGGCTGGTTCTGGTTTATAAAGTGATGTAGAGCTGTAGAACTGCCAAACAAAAATTGCAAGTATATCATTACATTTCACAAAATTATAGATATTCTAAAATATACGTGAAAATAAATTTTTATGGATTATCTCATTAATTTTAATAAATTATTAAATATAGTATATCATAGCGTGCGAACGTATATATTACATACTATAATTTCAAAGCTGAGAATAAGTCGAGAGCGGACCATTTGTAATAAGACTTAACAAAAGCTAGCCAGATCATATTCATCTCTTAGCTAGGTCGCTTCGGGACGGTCTGTGCATCACTTGGGCCGCCGCACTCATCGTCTCACTTTCCCACAGCTCTCTAAAAAGTAACGACAAGACACGTAGAATCTTGCAGAATACAACAACGAGCCACCACCGCAAACAACCAAACCAATATAAAATTATATCCAGTATTTTACAGAACATAGGCATTCATAATAAACATGACGTTGGATAACAGAATATCTATAGTTTATTTCAACAAAATCCATTGCAGATATTCAAAACAAAATTCCTTCTATAATATCAAAAATTAAGTAAAATGTCTTAATTTTATAAAAGCAACTTAATAAATAAATGCGAATTCTAACATATGGACTTCTTGGAAGTTTTAATAATCTATATTTCCACCTTGCCTCAATGCAAGCACGAATTCGTCGGGGCATGCTTTTTATGAGTTTACCAATTTCCTCACGAGGAAGGTCCCTCCATTTTTCAAGAACTGTTTAAACCAGTTGTTCCATGTTTCCTGGGTTGTTTTGCACGAACGAGCGCTAACCTTTCTTTTTACCACATATCCCACACATTTTCGATGTGATTAAGATCGGTGAAAAGCAGGCCAGTTTAATACTGTCATACCAAAATGAAGTCGCTTTTGGCGACTCTTCTAGTATGCGATAGGGCATTATCCAGCATACATTATAATAAAGTCTCTCCAGAAGTACCTTTCAAAAGTCATTTTATGGGATGTAACACCAATTCCACATACCTCTTCGCAGTTAACGTTTATTGCATGTTGGGGAGTCCTTTCCAGTAGCCTGATACCGCCCCAAAACATCACTGTCCCCCTTTATTTTTCGGAACCAGTCGGGCAGCTTATTGAACCCTGGTTTGTCTTCCACGGCCTCTTAACAACACGGTTCCTGGTTTGGTCCGAAAATAAATTCGTCCAAATTAATCGATCGTTTTTGTTTTGTCTCCTACTAAACAATTCTTTGGCACGAAGTTGTTTCCTAATCGTTTACACTGATATTCTTAATCCCGTCGCTTGTAGAAACTGTCTTTGGAGTTCTCTATCAGTTACCGTTTGATTTTTTCTATATATTTGAGCTAAAAATCGGCCTTGCTGCTCGGTAGTAACTCTTCGGCTACTTTTTCTATGTCTGTTTTTTAGATTTACTAATTCTATGAATCTTGAATAGGTTTTTAAAATCACCCTTTGTGAAACACCCACTCCAAGTAATGGCTCTTTAGGACATACCATGCTCTTCTATAACATTACTTATTCTTCCCCTCTGCACATCTGATAACCCCACAAAAAGCATTTTTCTTTAAATATTAGGTACAAATAAACAAAATCTGCGATGTTACTTCTAAAATCAATATTACCGCAAATAATAGTATTTATCTTTTTAAAAATCAATCAATTTTTCTCAGTAAAAACGAAATTCTTATATTTGCAAATGTTTCTGTAAAATACTAAGTGGTTTCATGTAACAGGGGTGGCCAGCAAGTCGATCGCGATCGACCGGTTGATCCCGAAGCCAATTTTGGTCGATCGTCGATCGCTCGCAATGTCTGGGGTGGAATTGGTAGAATTAGAAGACAAAACTTACCATACTGTACATTTTTATACATTTTTTTCATATTTAAATTTATACTTCCGTTTTAGGTTAGTAAAATAAAGGTGAGGACCTTTTTTAACCGACTTCAAAAAAGGAGGAGGTTATCAATTCGTCGCGATATTTTTTTTTATGTATGTTCAGCGATCATTCTTTAACACGGTGTCCGATTTCAATAATTCTTTTTTTGTTAGAAAGGGGCTACCTCAGGGGTGGTCCCATATAAATTTGGTTAAAATCTAATAATTGGGTCCATGAGAAAATCCTCAAACTCTTCATTTTTTATGTATGTTTAGCGATAATACTTTACCACCTTTTCCGATTTATATGATTCTTTTTTTGTTAGTAAGGGGGTACCTCAGGGGTAGTCCCATATAAATTTGGTTAAGATGTGGTGACGGCATCTGCACGTTTTTGAAGTCGGTTTTTTTTAATTTTTAATTTCTAATACTTGTAACCGACTTCAAAAAGGAGGAGGTTATCAATTCGTCGCGATATTTTTTTTTATGTATGTTCAGCGATTATTCTTTAACACGGTGTCCGATTTCAATGATTCTTTTTTTGTTAGAAAGGGGGCATTTCAGGGGTGGTTCCATATAAATTTAGTCAAAATCTAATAATTGGGTCCATGAGAAAATCCTCAAACTCTTCATTTTTTATGTATGTTTAGCGATAATGCTTTACCACCTTGTCCGATTTATATGATTCTTTTTTTGTTAGTAAGGGGGTACCTCAGGGGTGGTCCCATATAAATTTGGTTAAAATGTGGTGATGGCATCTGCACGTTTTTGAAGTCGGTTTTTTAAATTTTTAATTTCTAATACTTGTTTTTTAGAAGCTCGGAACTAGGGGTTTATTTAAAAAAATATGCCTGACTTTTTTTTAGAAGCCAAAAATAATTAGTCAGTTTTTTAAGCAACGGTACCTTTATTCACTTGTCAACAAGGCACCAACCCTACCTTATACTGCAAGTATATAAACATAGTATGCATTTCACACCCCTTCTTCCCCCTTAGACTACGCCTATTACAACAAGTCGATCGCGACACATTTGTAATATAAAAAGTAGATCTTATATACAGAAAAGTTGGCCACCCCTATCATCTGCATCTGTATCTGTAACGTGAGGAGGGTGGGTTGGTTACCCTCACGGCACTTAGTTCTCACTAGGCCCATTGTACATTTTCCTAAGATGAGCCAGCCTACAGATTTAATGTAGTTGACAACGTCGCCAATAGATGCTTATCTTTCATCCGTGTTAGCCGATACTCGTCGAACAAACATCTTCTAATAAATGAAAGCGTCGGGCAATCGTAAAGGATATGCTCGATGGTCTCATCTTCTTGTTCGCACCCCCTGTAAAGTGCGGATTCTGACAACCCCATGATACGGAGATGCTTTTGTACTTGGCAATGACCAGTCGGAATGCCTGTGACTAGGCGCAGATTCTGTCTAGTCATGGTCAAATATTTGTTTGCTGCAGTGTTGTCAGGATAACTTAAAAGCTCCCTGGCGACTCTGCAGTTTCTTGTTTTATCTCATCTTTTCTTGAATTTCACAAGGTAATGTTCTTTAATTAGGTCTGTCACTATCGATTTTGTTAGGCCAATAGAAGGACCAGGGCCAAAAAGTATTTGGTTGGCTGCTTTCTTGGCCAGTGACCTTTGATCCATCTTAAGGTGACCACATTGTTGATGGATACTTCGGCCAAAGCTTCGTAATATTCTAGTACTAACCGTGAGTAAATTCGTGGTCTGTTCAGGGTGAGTAGTGCTTGTCTGTTATCTGTATAGATGAGCATGTTCCAGTAGTATTATAACCCCTGTCATATAAGATTGAACGGCCAATAAATCCCTGGTCTAAGTGTGCATTGTACGTACCTCGCTGTGTGCAAAAACATTCCGTATTGCTCAAAGCTCTTCCGTACGCTGTTGTAACTCCACCAACTATCAGTATCTGAGTTCCAAGATAAGACACGGCATGACCATGTCTAGGAATATTCAATTGTGATATTTCGTTCCATTCGAATTTTTTATCGTTCCATAGATCCAGGGCTCCTATGCTAGTCGTACTACCCCTTTTGAATTTATCTGGAGATTTCCCTGCGCCGCCAATCAGGTAAAGTTTATCTGAGAGAACGAACATCGAGGAAAAACATCGTGGAAATCGTAGTGGGTACTTCAGTTCTGTCCATCTAAAAATGTTAAAAATAAATAGCGTACCTACTAAATCAATGCTGGTGAGACTAAAGCTAATTGCCAGTTTTAAGTAGGCGATATTGTGACATATTAGCCCAGGAGTGGATAGAATAATAAAATGGATTCTAGTATAAGATAGTAATCTATACAAGCAAGCGTGAGCATTGACTTGATATTACGCATAGATACGCGTGCCTAATGTAAGGTATGGCATACATAGATCATATACGATGGCATGATGAGTTTACTTACTGATTAGATCTGATATCGTAAGTTTCGACAGATTCCAATATATCGATCGTACTATCACTGCCAGTTATACCACCGGCCACCCAAATATGATTCCTTAGTTTAGCGCAGGCGAAACCAGTTCTCGCAGTCAACATGGGTTTCATTTGATTCCAGATCTTTTTTTCGATATCATATTTCTCAACACTGTTTAAAACTCTGTAATAAACACCAAAGAATTACAATAAAGTTATTTATAAATAAAATAAAACTTACTCATATTGTCCTCCTTGTCCTCCAATGGCATATAGACCTTGATTACATCCAACCAATCCGAAATTTTTTCTAACTTCAAACATTGGTTCTTCTTTAAACCATTTTCTAGCGACCGGGTCAAAACTCCACACAGTGGCAGTAACACCTGCATCTTGGAAGATTTGGCTTCCGCGAGGATCACTTCCACCTATAGTATGTTGAATTATCCTTTTTTACTGATGGAAGTTTATTTCTTAAATATTCATCGCTTTTTAAACAGAAGTAGAAAACTAAATTCTATAATAATACTACCCCTACAATCTACCCCCTTATGCGCCAATCCCTGAAGCTCTGACAGAAGAGCTTGTGTCAAAAGGGACGGCTATTATTATTTGCCATGGCGTTTCGGGGCGACTTACAGATGATTGGTGGTGCTAATTAATTTACGGACGAGGAAAACACCACACACTATCATCGGCACGATAACCTCAATTCCTTGACTACCTTTAAGTCCAGGTACTTATACTAGTATTAGATACCTCATTCTGGGGTAACCAATTCATTCATTGTTGTACCAAGACAGTTCCAGACCAGTTTTGACTGATTTTGTTGGTACCAAGGGCCTTTAAGATTGCTTGATTGATTACAAATAAGTTGAGAAGTGAGAAGTTGGTCTCATTCATCTTTAAGTCCATGTATATATTGTACCCCTCTGCCCGAGTAAGTATTAACTGAAGTAGAAGAAAGAATAATTTTAAAAAGTAGACCAATTAGAGATCATACTTACCAACTAAGAAGATTCTTCCTTTGTAAAACTCCGCGCAGTGATGATGTCTTGGTTCAGGCAATTCTGCTACGAATTGCCAAAAATTTCCGACAGGCATGTAACGGAAGATTTCTTTCCCTGTATTTTTACCAAATCCGTACGGATTGTGAGGGTCTAGACCACCGAAAACTAACACGGTCTCTCTAATTTCGTGAAATAGAGATCCTTCGTCTAACAAGTTTCTTCTAGTTGGCGTCCAAACAAGATCAGTTGATTGTCTCCTAAAAAAATATTAGAACAAATCCATCAGTAGTTTTTTCAATTTCTTTTTATATCTTTTACTTACTGATCATCAAAATGATTCTTCACCATGTTAAACATATTTAATACGCCCTTTTTGGTCTTTTTGAAAACTTCGCTCGTCTTAGATTTTTTTGATTTATCGAGGGGAATATTTTTAAGTAATTGTTGCCTTTGAAATCTTCTATAGGCCCTTTGGATGATAACAGCAGCCTGGGGTCGAGTAAGCCATCGCCTACAAGATTTCATTGGCTTTATTTCTTCGTCGATTAGGGCTGGGAAAGTGACTACTGGTTGCTAAAAATAAAACCGCAAATCATGAATAATTCCTCTTGACTAAGAAATGAATTAATAAACAAATATCCAAATATTGAAATAATAATTATAAACTAGGTACATTTTATGTGATATTAAGAAGAATATTTTTATCGTTGTATCCATTGATATTAAGTTCGGTACCTTGATCTCTAACAGCCGTAAAGACAAGACATTGGGGTTGGTCTAAAAACTGACAATATTTTAGAAAAACCAATCATCTAAATAATAATTCTATAGGTGCATGACATATCAGTTAAAATGATTAGTTGGAATACTATAGGAATTAAGAAATACAGAGTCAACAATAGGTAAACGCATTGCAAGTGCTGTTTACCTTTTGTTGGCCCGTTGATATTAATTTTAAAAGCACTTACATGCTGTTTACCTCTTGTTGAACTCCTCAAATCTCGGATATCCTGTTAAAAGACACTAGTCAGTAATTTTAATTTTTCTTATATGAAACTTACCTCTTATCAACATCAATAACTGCAAGTATTTCAATGTCCAGTGTGAAAAATGAAACCTTTATAAATTAGAGACGAAACCAAGTGTGGATAAAGAAAAAATGGTACAAGTGGTACAATTGTAATTGTGACAAAATAAAATTAGGATCCCAAGATTGGGTACTTCTGGTCTTATAGGATTGGATTTTGGGATAGTAAGAATTTCTTTTATGGAGGAAACTTCAAAATCTAGGTCTCCCATACCGGTATGAGTTAAGAGACTGGCGTGTTGTTCTTGGAGGTCTAACTAGAGGTGGGATAATGCAGGAAAGATCGGAAGAGCAAAGATATATCACCAGCTGTACGCTTATGGCCAAAATGAGCGAGGTTTTTAATAAGTTTGGAGTCGTTATTAGGGTAATTGCTTCTTCTATGAATAGCACAAAGAATAGAAATAGATATTGGTGCTCCCCAGGTGTGAACAGTTAGTCCTTATACAGGAATAGGAATCATCATTTCTTATCCAGAAGTATCCATGAAACAAATTGTTGAAGTTTCCTTCAAATGCGATAGAATTGCAGTTCTGCATTTACTTAAAGCTTCAGAGAGTTTAGTAGTGGTAAACGAAATAGTAATAGGCTTTAAATGAAAGAATAAATTTCAATATGAGTGGCTTATAGTCCAAGCATTGAAACAAATACCTTCATGGTACTATATTTAAAAAGATTTGTTACTTTGGCAGTTAAAGGTGCCTTTCAGTTATTATTTCGTTATTTGCCTTACAACTATATCGTTTGTCACAGTAGATAATAGTAAGAGTTACATTATTTTCTTTTTTGTTATTTGGCTATAATACAAATACCTACCCAACTGTTATTGTTGCACATGTTTTGCATTCAATTAATAATCCAAATAAAGTTCTATAAAATATTATTTCAAATATGTATAAATATAAATAAATATATATAACACAAAAGTCCGTAATCTCTCATTACACATAAACAAAAAATACTTTCATGCGTACACTACGATACCACTTTGTTAACCTTCTTCTGCTGTCCGTAAGTCGTACTTACTTTCTTCTTGGACAAAAACTCTTCCATTGTGGGTACCCTCGGGGAATTTTTCTCTACGGAACCCGTAGTCGATTTTCTTGCTTCCTTGCTGTCACCTTTGTCGCTGGATATCTTTGGCTTGTTCTTTTCGATCAATTGGTTCCTTCTGTACTGGTCGAGGTAGATGAGGAATTCTCTGTATGTGAAGTAGGTCTTGTCTGAACCGCTCCAATTGCGCGGAGGCGGTTCTTGAAGACCTAGAACGGCGTTCCAGTGTTGGAAGTCGTCGTTTTCTTGTCCGTACCAATATTTAATGATGACGTACCTAAAATAAACAATTAAGACCGTGAAGAAGGAATTTGTTTCCATTCTGCCATCAAGAATAGTCAAAACTTAAATACTCCGTTAACAATATATGAGATGGAAAACTATACAATAAATAGAAATGTCACGTTTATTTTCCTACTCTATTCTTTCTCCATACTAAATAGTATTTAATAAACACTAAATAGAATGGCATTTAAGATGGCATGTTTATCATGTACTAGAAGGAAGACATAGAACAAAAGTTCAAAGAAAGAATACAAGAGGAAGACAACTATGTTATGTTGGGCATGGGGTATTAATTCACTGCAAGCTAAAAGATCTGTTGTGTCCTCTTCTGTCGCTAATGCATCGAGGAAATAGTCTCGATGCCTATAACGACCCTTTCAATTATATCTTCTCAAGGAAGTGTAGGATTTGGAGTATGCTTCAAGTTAGGTAGATCGACCTCTTCCATTTGGTATGCTCCTAAGTCTAGTGCCCTTGGATTCTGAAGTGCTACACATTCAGTCAGAATGTGATTCTCCTCCTCACAGAATCTGCACCCACTATCTTCTACGACTCTCAGTTTAAAGGTGTCCTTTAAGTCGACAATGCCCGGTAAGGATCTCTGTTACAATGCGTAATCTGTTCTTGCTCAGGCTGATACAGGCTCGCGATCTTTTCTGGTTATATTCACTGAAAAGTATCTTAGCCTGTCTTAATCCAATTATCGGTTCTTCTACTGCCCAATTCTTTTTTTAAATCTCTCCCAATATTGTGTTACTGCTGAGACCGCAGAACGGTTCAGGTCTTACAGAGGGTGTTTGAGTCCCTTTCCTTGCGAGACTATCTGCAATCTCGTTAGCCTTTACCCCGTTATGTCCCGGGACCCAAGTGAAAGTAACTGTATTTTTCTCGTCTAGCTAATTTAGTTTTTCTAGGTATCTTCAGACCATTTTTGAGCTCAGCGTTTTGATGGCTGCTTGGCTATCGGACATCATGATAATCTCTTGTTTGCCATAGTTTCCCTCGATGTTGAACTGGATACACTTCTCAATGACGTGAATTTCCGCTTGTAAGATGTTTGGGGATCTACTCAAACTTTTACTCCTATTCCAGTTCGTTCTATGGTTCCGGAATCATAGTTTTGAAGTGGTTTGACGACACTGAGAATATAGAAAGAAGCACTTCATGGAATTAAACGACAAAGGATGCTAAATGTCAGTATGGATATAAGTTTTTGAACATACGAACAACCAAAAATGAGGAATGAAATTGAAGAACTTAACCCTTAAAGATGACGCAAATACGAAAGGATGTGTTAAATAAAATTGTAATATTTGTAGACTTACGCTAAACCATCGTCGATCATTTTACAAATTTTGGGATCTTTAGCCAGCTCCATAAAGTCTGGATTTTCCGGATTCCTCTTTATGTCGACCAATTGCCAGGGTGCAATATTGCCGAATCGCACACAATCTAGTATTTCATATTTATAGTGATCTCTTGCGTTCCAATCATGCTTTAGCCACCTTACAGCAGACATAAACACCTCCATTTCACTAAAATGAACATTTTAATTATTGTTTAAACGTATAACGTTGCCGAAAGTTGTCTATGCTGCTTTAGTGATTATTCGTCTTTTACTATACGCAAAACTTATCTGAACTGGTATTCGGGAACCGCGCGTAGGGATGATTTTCTATTGGACTTAATTGTGATTGAGGTTTTACTGAAATTATATTGACTTGATACGAATAGGGTGTGATTTAAGAATACGAGGTCTTTGGATCTCTCTGTATTTGTAAGTTTGGGGAGGGTGGGTTTTTACACAGCACTTAGGTCTCAAAAGACCCATTGTGCATCCTCCAAGAGCATAGAACCTACATCTTCACTTGTTAAAACCAACTGGTTACCGCTCAAAGGTATCTAGAGATCCATCTTCCCAGCTAATCAAAATCCTGCAGGTTATCAACACGTCAAAAACCTGCTGGTTGGCGCTGAGGGGTATCTACTGACAGCTATTTACTCAGGTCGTCATGTCCTACAGGATATTAACTCATCAAAAACCTACTGGTTGTCGATAGGGGGTGTCAAGGGATAGTCAGCCTTTCAGGTCAAAGTTCTGTAGGTTAATATTAATATTGTCGCCGAGAGGTGTCTCTAGATGCCCCATTTTTTTGAAAGTGGTCATTTGGTAGGCTTCCATCACACCGATGGTAATGGCCTGGGTGATGCCATCCTATTCGCCCGCTCCACAAGGCAAGAGTCCTGGGATATATACTTTGTATTCAGTTCATGCCCCATAATTTAAAATAAAAAGATACTATATAAAACGAACTTACCAATTAACACAAATATAATTAGACTTGAGGAAATTCTTGACATCATCTAATTCTAATTCGAGCCAATTTTGAGAACTGACTAACATTAGGAAGAAGCCTTGTATTCTAGGAAGCATGAGCTCTCTTACTTCGGGCAGATTTTTTTCTTTGGCATCCATGTAAAGTAAGAATGCAGTGTCTTCAGAAAACACGTCAGTGTGATCTATGAATGCCCAACATTGTTCCACCAAATCTTCAAAAAACAATTAATATTTAATTGAATTGAATCATTTACGGCGATATTAATTGAACAAAAGTAATTATTAGTTGAAAGGATATACCTTTAATTTTCAAATATTTGGCACTATTGAAGATATCTAAAACATTGTCTCTGGATAACTCTTTATAAGAGGGTTCCCCCGTTATCATCCATTCGTATATAAATGCAAAAGCTGCTGCACTGCACTTGTCCTTAAAACAAAATTAACAAAAATAATACTAATCTAATTCTAACATCTGGGATATATGTACGTAGTAGAATGATGACAGACTTACGGATGGCAATTCCACTTTCTTCACAGCAATATATGCATCAAACAATTCGGAGTAACATTGAAGAACAATAAGGTGACAGTTAAATTCTTCGTTATCAATGTACACTTTACAGTCAGCATTTCTATAAGAAGAATCACGATTTAAATGTAATGGTTCATTATTTTTCTCTCCCAAGAAGCGAAATTTAAATGTGTCAATAGAATTAAAGACTAGAAAGGGTTACTTTAACACAGTACCTCGTTATCTTTGTTGGTTATAAGCAGGTAGTGTTAGATTGGGCCCAAAACAGAGTTTCTAAGACCTCCAACCTTGTTTTCCGATTAAAGGTCAGGAGTTGTGCCTTGCAACTGATATATGATGTTATATTGGGGTTTATCTCTTGGTCATAAAATTTTTGCTATCATTTATTTTCAAATAAACTAGAGTGGGTTTCCGGACATGCTGATCAATCAGTTTTTCTAATCCTTTCAATAGAAATGACGTAAGAATTATTGATCTGTAAGGCATTTGCCACGGCATATGTTGTAGGTATAAAAACCACTCTGCTGTATTCTTCGAGCATATATATTTCATAGAGTCCGCATTCAACAGCGTTTGTTTGGGTTAAGAGGGGTAATAGGTAGACACTATTTCCAGTGTCGCATCATGTTTACGGAGTTTGCAATTAATATAAATATGTAATAAATTTGATACATACAACTTTTTAGTAGAGTTCAAAATCTAAAACAATATTCCTCATACATAATACAAGTTCTTTAAATTTAAGTCACTAAATTTACCATTTATTTTAAATTCATGTTTAACGGCCTTTTGCATAGAATGCAGATACTTATATTTATTTTAAAAAAATAGTAGAGACGCTAATGATTACTTACTTGTAAAATGACCTTGACGATGCCTTTTTGTATTTCTATTTAAAACTTACACAAACTCTCACCATTGTTTACATTTGTATCACTAAAGTAATAAAATACAAAAAAATTACTTATAAACTACAAAAATAAGCTAGAAATTAATGAAAATCAAATGATAGATCTGACAATTTTGAACGATTTGACATGCCAAGCAAAACGAAACATACCAATGGGAATGCTGGACACTATTTTTCCCCCCTGTACCAAAACAAAGTCCATTTGGACGATGGCTCTAGTAATATATGCTCGAAGGCTGTATTTCCAGGTATTAGGCATTCCAACGACCTGTCAAACAATAGGTGCCAGTGGGAAATTCTTGTATATTTAAGGGGGTAGCGACATAGTCTTGCAACTTGGACGCTATTTTTATTCGAAGTAGTACTCGCCAAGCCTGCCAATTTATGAAGAAATGTATAGGTGGGTTTTTTAAATATTATTTTTATTGTGTTTGACATACAATATTTAAATGTAATCCATTATTCATGATTTTACGTAAAGTAGATAGAATACACCATATGTCGCCACCCTTAGATATACCAAACCTGCCCACTGGTAATTCATTTGTTTGGAATGCCTAATTAGGCATTAGGCATTCCAAACTGAATGGCTACCAGTGGGTTATGATATGGCAAAATTATGGCAACCCTGTAGGCCTGGTGATTGACAAGGTCAATGAAACAGATAGTTACATCGATTGATCATCCATATTTTTCAAAATAAACATAAGCTTATGCCTTGAAGTAAAAATGTAAGCAATTATTTTTTTTAAATATCTAAAGGCTAAAAATTGGTTTTAAAACATATTTTTGCTAAACAGATTCAAATTAATAAATATTTGCCAGGCAATATGGCCGCTCGTAAACGACCAGCTTTGAGCAATCTATATAACTATATATGTATCATTGACCCTGTTAATGACAACATGACAACAGGCTTGCCATATCTAAACTGTCATTACCCACTGGTAGCCATTTGGACAGGTCGTTGGAATGCCTAATTAGGCATTCCAACGACCTGTCCAAATGGCTACCAGTGGGTAATGACAGTTTAGATATGGCAACCCTGTTGTCATGTTGTCATTAACAGGGTCAATGATACATATATAGTTATATAGATTGCTCAAAGCTGGTCGTTTACGAGCGGCCATATTGCCTGGCAAATACTTATTAATTTGAATCGGTTTAACAAAAATGTGTTTTAAAACCAATTTTTAGCCCTTAGATATTTAAAAAAAAATAATTGCTTACATTTTTACTTCAAGGCATACGCTTATGTTTATTTTGAAAAATTTGGATAATCAATCTATGTAACTATCTATTTCATTGACCTTGTCAAATCACCAGGCCTACAGGGTTGCCATAATTTTGCCATATCATAACCCGTCAAAACCCACTGGTAGCCATTCAGTTTGGAATGCCTAATTCCAACGACCTGTCAAAATGCTGACAAGTGGGAACTGACAGTTTAATTATAGCAGCCCTGTGGCCTGCTGTCATTGACAGGGTCAATGATACCTATATAGTTGTATAGATTGCTCAAAGTGGGTCGTTTTGCGGCCATATTACTTCGCAAGTGCTCATTAACACATTGACTGCCACGGCATACATATATCCATGACAGGTACCTTTCCGTTACGGCCGCGTCATTCATATATGTATGGCGGTCAATATTTTAGTGCAAGCTGCGTCGTTTACGTATATTACAGCCTACGCTTTATAAATGGGGTTTTTGGTACGCTGGCCTCCCACTGATGTTTAGGTATACTGGGCCTCAAAAAATATTGAAGTATATATATAGTGTAAAGAATCGCATTTATTCTTTTAGGGTTGACTAACTTACAACTTTAAATTGAAGAAAACATCTCAATTTGCAAAGGTTGAAAACCTAAATTAATCAAAATAATAATAATAATAATAGTTACAATAAGAACATAAAATAAACTGAAATTTATTTATGTTTGGAATTGAAACATGACATGAAATGCTCCGTGCATTTTTCACAAAAAGTATATATCCATGACATGGCCCCACCGAGTAAATATTACAATATTTTCCCTGGGGAGGCGCGGCATTCATATATGTATGACAGTATCAAATTAAAAAAAAAAAGGCCAAAAACAGAAAAAATACAATTTTTTTATCAAAATTGTTCAAAACGAATATAAATACGCCGGAAAACAGATGGTTGGCCTGGGGGGAAATTGTCACGATTCTGGCTTGGCAGTCAATATGTTAATCAGAACAAGATTAGCAAAAATGTGTTTTAAAACAAATTTTCAGCCTTTAAATACAGTAAAAAAAGTAATTACCTTCATTTTTACATCAAAGCATAAGCTTATGTTTATTTTGAAAAACATGAATAATTAATCTATATAATTATACCATTGACCCTATCAAATCACCAGGACCACAAGGTTGTCATATCATATAACCACATCATAACCTGTCAAAACCCACTGGCAGCCATTTTATTTGGAAAGCCTAATTTGGTACCTACATGTTTATGCGCCAAACTTGCTATGTAGGGCCTAAAACTATGCGAGCCAATGTTTCTATTGCTTGTTGCAGAAGCAGAGACAATACCCCCATCTGGTCCCGGTGAATTGTATCGATTGAAGGTGCGAAATTGTCCATGTTACTTTCTTTGTAGTGACTACCCGTTTTACAGTTTCCCACACTTGGCAGAAGATTTTTTTTTGAGAGTTCCACTTCGTGTGGGTTTGGTTTGCTGCATTCGGGTTTGTTGTGCAGTCAGGAAAATGAGTTTTGAGAAGTAATGCTAATGTTTTCATTCCAGTTTTAGTGTATTCCCCTGTTTGGGATTTTAAAATCCCCACAGGCTTTATTATATCTTTTTCTAGAATGCGGTAGAGTCTGCATCCTTCAAAGAAGAGGCATAAAAATGATCAATCTTTAGGCTACTCCACTGGTAACCAACTAACTAACATACTGTTTTTAAATAGGTTGTATATTACTTAGAAGCTGTTTAAACGGCATTCATCCATCAAAGGTTTTCCCAATGATAGTCCAGTAGTTTTTTTTCAGCCACAGATTATTATATGGTACAAGGGAAAAATATTTAAAATTTATTCGTCCTGAAGGACAATAAATAAATACTTTTATGGATTATGAAGGAACTAATACAGTTGGAAAGAAATATTAAAAGATTAATCCGGCATTTTGGCCACGTGTGGTTCAAGAAATAAACTGAATTATATCAATTATATCAAATTTTCAGTTTCTTAGATTAAAGAGACTGAAGATGTAACATTGCACACTGCGCATGTTGTCTATTTTAACCCCAAGTAAGCCACCCATTGAAAATCATTGTTTGAACGACGTCACCCGAATTGCTCCGATATTAGGTACGCCTGAGTTCAATCACCATTGACAGCTGTTTTTTGATTTATTTATTGGTGTATTAGTAATTTAAAGTGTACTAGTTATTCAATTTCAAGTTTAAAATGCCACGATGTTTTTATCTTGAAAAATTGTATATACTTATAATACAAGTACCAATGTTATGAACGATAAAAAATATATTCGTTTTCAGCGGTAAATATTTATTAACGTTTTGACATAAAGCGCCATGATCCTTTGGGCTGAATACTTCAGATCCGCATTAAGGGGTTTCAATAAATATTAAGTCAAATACATATTTCAGAAAACACATAAGTAAAGAAGCATAGTTTGCGGTCAAATCGGAAGTGACATTTGAATCTTAAGTAAAACGCACAATATGATCTAGTATAAGCAAAAAAATACTAAAGTTACGGGAGTTAGTCACATTGTTAATAAAATGTTACATTATAAACCACTAAACAACTCGAACAAAATTTTCGTTTACTAAAAAATTCAAATTCTAGAAATATTTATTATTTATTTTACAATCGAATGTGGTTTCAAAGATAATGGGATCAAATAATCTGAATTTCTAAATTTTGGAGCTAAATGCTCGGATAAAAGCAAGCGACCTAGGGGTTATAAAAATAATCGATTTATCGATTATTCTGATATTTTTTATGAAAATCGATTTATCCGTTATTTTTAATAAATTATTTTCGTTTTTTAAGATAATGTTATAATCTATATCGATTTGTTTTGGAAAAGTCGATTTATCGTTTAATCGGTTTTCTCGATTAATCGATTATTTTCATTTTTTTTTCAAAGTTTTATATGAAAATAACCGATTGATCGAATATAATCGGTTATTTTATATAACCGATATTTCGGTTATTTTTTTAGAATTATCGGTTAATCAGCTTTTTAATAATCGATTATTTTCGATTTTTCAAAGATAATCGAATAATCAATTTTAAAGGAAATATGAAAAAAAAAATTATTAGAAAATAATCGACAATTCGGTTATTTTTGGAAAATCGATTATTTTCGATTAAGCGATTATTTTGGAATAATCGTTTATTTTCGGTATTTCAAAGATAGTCGAATTGTAGATTTTAAAAGAAATACAATAAAAATAGATTATTTGATAATAATCAATTGATTGAAAATAATCGATAATTTAAAATAATCGATAATTCGATTTTTTTTTGAAAATCGATTTATCAGTTACCTAATCGACTTTTTAATTAATCGATTATTTTTAAATTATCGATTATTTTCAATTTTTCAAAGATTATCTAGTAATCTGTTTCAATGAACGAAAAAAAAAAGAATATTTGAAAATAATCAATTATTTAAAATAAACGATAATTCTTTTATTATTTTTTGTAAACCCTGATTTATGGGTTAATTGTCTTTTTAATTAATCGATTATTTTTGATTTTTCAAAGATAATCAAGTAGTCGATTTTAAAGGAAATACGACAAAAAAAATAGATTTTTTTTAAAATAATCGATTGATTGAAAATAATCGAATCGATAATTTATTTCGATAATCACCCACCCCCTAGCGACCAAATGACTTAATAGGTTTAAATTTTAAAATGTTATCTGGTTTTCTCTGGTTTTCTCATTTTGTCTAATTTTTAATATTATGTGATAGCCGTAGAAAAAATATACTGTTCAACTCACAAGGTTTGATTTGCAGTATTCGCCTTCGCACATGCTTTTTTTTTATAATACTCGTAGACAATGAGTACCATTTCTTGCTCTATTAACAATATTCTATTTCAATATTTTACTGTAGTCTCTTGAAGAAAAGTCCGTAGTAAATAAACGCTAACAAAATATTTTATAAAAGGTCTTCTCTTTACATAAAATGTCGTGGCATCTGTTTGATATTAAAAAATCACGTTAATTTTATTTCGTAATACAAAATTCAATTAAACATCTTAAATAAATCTAATAGTTCATTATGGTGCTAATAAACAAAGACTGTCCCTGTCCGTCTCTGTCACACAGTTCGGGTCTCCGCCCAGTTCCCCTAATCCGTTAACCTGTCTTTAGAAATTGGCAACATTTGCGCAGGTTAAACACCGGTGTATGTTATATCTCTGGTCTCTTTTATCTAAGGTTAAAATGTAATTTTAACACCCAAGCCAAATAGTACCAGATCGATAGATATAAATATATTTTGACTTACGTGTAATTTGTTATCCGCGAATAAAGCTCGAGATACAAGTTCTTCTTTTCGGGTAAGGCAACTTTATGCCAACAGATGTCGTCTGCACCGGTATAACCTAACCTAAAATAATTAATTACACGTGTTTAGACTGAAATTGTATTTCATTTGGAATAAATTGTACCTTCCAAGATTTAGTTCTGGGTCTAAGATTTCTGATGTTTGTTTACTTTCATATTCGGAAGCTTCCTTATTGCCGCTTCTGACTGGGGTATTTCCTATTAAGGTACCTAGACTGGAAAAGCCTGCCTATAAAAAAATCAGCTATATTATCGTAATTGATATTTATAAGTGAAAGAAATTGAGATTATAAATTAAAACAGGACTAAGGAAATCCTCAATCAACTGGAAAAGAACGGGAAGATCCAAGAAGATCAATAAAAAGCATCAGATATTGACGGAATGTAATAAATTGATTGTTAATAAAATCATTTTAAAACATCGCTTTTCTTTTAATTTTTTTACCTGACTCATGATGGTGTCCATTGCAGAGGTTTTCGATAGATCCGTATCGTGCGCCATTCTTTTACTAAAATTTGTCTCTGGATGTACGCTAACTTTGGTAGTTTTCGGATCAGCTACTAGTACACTTAATTTATTTGTAGAAAAAACAACCTAAAATACAGTATATTCGTTATTTCTTGACTATCGTAACACTAATTTTATTTGGGCTACTATTTAGTTTCCTACAAAACGACGAAAAACTATTAGACTAATTTTTTTTACAAAATACAAATTTCAAACATTCATGATGTCATCCACGCAGTTGTCAAATTATTATGAGAGAGTACGGAAGAATATCGTTACAAGGTTTGTTTATGATTATAATACGGCATTGACTTAACATAAGGCTCTAAAGCGTAAAAAAGGCTTGCACTATATTTTTTCCCGTTGCAATTATTGTAGTTGTAAAATACTTTCTCAGGAAAGTACTAAATTAATTTTGAAGTGTAACAGCAATGTAAAGCAATCGTAGTAGACGTAAATACGGATTTATTCACAGAACGCATGTTCGCTCTTTAGATAAACATACTCGCACTGTAACCTACCTTAATAATTTATTTATTCCATTTATTAAATATAATATTGCATTCTTATTAAACTAAAAATGCTTCATTTAACGAAAAATCTCCCAGATAATTAAATCTTATTTACGACACCTAATAAATAGTACCTATAACCACGTCCCTAAAAGATCCATATTTCGTGCACGTGTCTGGTAATCTAGACCAAGAAACCACCATAAAACATATTTCTTTTCACGAAGTAATTATCATTAAAACACTTAACTAGCTTATCTTTCTATGTAGTCAAATAACTCCAGAAATGCTCCAAAACGTCAGACAAAGATTTGAGAACAATTTATATTCGTGTATGGAAGTTAATGGACAACATTTTGAGCATTTACTTTGAAGTAATTTAGTTTTTAATTATGGGAGTTGTCCTAAATTTTTCAATTTAATTTTTATGTTCACTTTTCTATAATTTTTTAATTTTTATTATGAATTGTCTATTAAATGAGTTTTATTTTCAAATGAAGTATCATTATTTTTCCCGCAAGATGGCGCCAAAATCAAAAGTTACGTAATAAACTGTCACACAGTCAACTTCCTTATAAAATTACCTTTTCAATGATGTATCACACTTAGTACTTTCCCTATTTCAATTTCATTGGTAATAGTGACAAAGGGGTGGGGAGGGATGTAGGATAGTTGAGGATATGATCGAAAGATGTCCCCTTTGAAATAAAAATCGACCTCTTTTTGCATTTTCTCCAAAAAAAATGTTTCTTCAAAATATGCGATCTGTTTCGTTTTCGGTGCCTCACCCTGTATATAGATAGCAAATGAATATGGTTTGCGTTTGAACAGAACTCAAGTGAGATATCAGTAAATAGTACCAATTGTAATATACTTTGCTAATTATCGCATCACATTTAAAGCATGAAACATAAAAGAGTTTAAATATGAATTTGTATGTTTTATTTATGAATTTGCACCAAACTTTGCATGGAATTCTGGTTTACCTAAATTAACATTATCACAACGTGAGTATATAAATTATCAATTAATTAACTAGACGATCATTTTTACTACTAGAGGAAAAAAGGCCCATTACAGTAAGTATAGAATTTAAAGTAAAAAAACTTGTGAGGTAAATAATAACATTTCAGAGAGTAAAATAACGAACAAAATGGGGGTACCGGGGGGTGGGTCGTTACAGCACAAACCATTCCCACTCAAACTAGCAGCTGTCTCCTTTCTAATGCGACAGCTCTGTCTACGTAATAATAAACAATATAAATGATTGCAATAAAAAAGGGCTTGATTATGAATGAGTGGATTAGTCTAGTATTTTTTCGTCGTTGGTCTTATATTTATTCTTCACTTTATTTTCTTTGCCAATCAAGAACATTTCTTTATTAAACAGAAAACTATGTTCACATGAAGCATACGCAGTCATTATTTTTTCATTTGCCCAACAAATTCACAAATGCTGAATGGCTTTAAATCACAAAGTTATACAACACATTTCACATTAATGTAATTTTGATTACTTTTAATACGGAAACTATACCTCACAATAAATTGAACAAGATGTAATAGGAACGTGCACATATCAGGCAGGTATATAGAGGAGCGAGCAAAAGTAGAAGTTGTATCGATGATTATGTGCATGATCCTATTAAACTTTGTTCAACTCATTGTAAAGTATACCTTCCATGTTGAAAATTCTATAACTGTACTCGTATACTAAAATATGTACTTAATTCAAAATTGGATACTCACTTGTGATGATTCAACCTTGAGGTTTCCACTTGGCGTCAATTTAAATGGGAAACCACTGTCTACTTTGTTGTTCCGTGAGCTATATTAAACTCTGTTTTTGAAAAAATTTAGTGACTTTTTGAAAAATAATTACAAATTTTAGGGCATACCAAAGATATTTGACATGCGTTGTATTTTGTACTACTAGAATGTTTTGTTTTTTAGATATATCGAGAGTTAAAAGTAAGCCCTTAGTTAAAGTTTTCTATTTGTCAACAAAGAGTGAAAAACTATTTAAAATAATTATTAAATTGTTTTGGTTTTCATATAATTTACGAGTAAAACGCACTAGTCTCAAATCTATCTAGTTTGCCCTACATTTTTAGAAATTTTTAATTTTTCAAACTCACATAGATTTGGGCATTCTCTCCTCGGAAATAACGTCAATTACTTGCGTGTGGGTTTTCTTTTTGCTCGGAAACAGAAAATCCCTTTGGCTTATTGGCTCGGTACTAACGTAATCGGGCCCGCGCTCTCTGTTCGAATACAACAATAATAAATTGTCGGAAGGAACACTTGATGTATTGATATGGGTATTACCATAACCTGTAAGTTATGTATCAATAGATAAAAAAGTTAAGGTAAAGGATATGAATTTTATTCTCAGAGTTGGTAGCGCTATAGGCTTTTTTAACCTCTTCAGCCGCATTGGAGGGTTTAGGGATCGAATCTGAGAAAATGTAGTAGAAGGAATGATGGTAGGGTATGTGAGAGGATGTTACTAACCCAGTATTTGCCTAGTGCTACGAGAAAATCTCAGAAAAACTCATAGCAGGCCAGATGGCAAGAAACAGTGGCTCGAACCCACTACTTTCTTAATGCGTGGCAGCTGCGTTGCCGCAGAGCCACCTCAGACCATATTATTGATTTCTGTAAAACCACGCCCGTTATTCCTATAGGAAGGCGAAAAACGAGCCTATATTATTTAATACCTGTTACTGTTTATAGTTAATCCTCTCTTCATTCCACAGGGTCAATGCAGAAGTAGGTACTATATAATCCAGCTTTGAAGTCAACTCTATTCCTGTTACAGGTCAATGACCTACTTACATTTTATTTTCAACCCTGCAGATGGGAGCACTTCAAATCAATCTCCTCTAGCGAGATCGTTGTGTTTTCGAAAACTGACTCCAATATTTTTAAAACAGATTTTCTACCCTCGTAAATTAGACTAAATTGGTGTTGATATTCATGTTATTTAGTATAAATAGCCCAGTTCGCAGATACTTTTTTGATGAAGACTTTTCATTGGAACATGATTATTCAAGGACAGAACAAGACAGTACTTGGTATGTCTTCTAGGTCAAATCTGAGCACTGAGATTCTTCTCCATTGATCTTGCAGAACAAAGAGTCAAGTATTTTAGCCTATAGTGATAATCGGTCGAAAGAAAATTAGAGAAAGACGTTCGAAGACGTTCGTAATAATAAAATTAAAAGCCAGAAAACTCACCCTTTGGCAACTTCTTGATGTTAGGAATCAATTTGGTCTCATTCCTTTCTAAAGAATGACGTTGCTATAAAAAATTAAATAAAATAAGGTTTAGCATTTTCTGCATTATAGCATTATTCAAAGAGTTAATTTGTGATTAATTTTAATAAATTAAATATCTATCTTTTTCACTCTATATAATTGTAAATAATTTGTTTCAAAAGGAAGTATTACCCTGGTTAAATTAGAATCGCCTGATCCAGGTTCAGTACTTCTAGGAAAGGAACTTTTGGGAGTTTTAGAAACTTTTTCTTTCTTACCTTCAAAATTCTCAGCAGGAAAAAGCCTAAAAATGTTAAGACTAAAACACCTGCTTTGTAGTTATTTATTAGATTAAAGACAATGTTTGTTCATATGATTATATTCTTTATTTTCAATATCAACGTCAATGTCTGGGATATAGGTCAAAAATACTGTATAATAAGCAATAATGACGTGTGAGCCACATTTTTCTCCCCAGTTGGCAATGACATAAAGATAAAAGTATGAGTAATGTCTGAGACAATTGTACCACTGTATAGAGGTAAACGAGAAGTAAAATCACTCAGTGCTATCTTGTTGAAATTTTGCTAAGGTCACTTCACTTGCAGGTCCTCAAATGACCCCTCACAAATCTTATGGAAATTGGGTCCTGGTCAAATTCGCTGAATTTTTGATATGTGATAGAGTTCATCATACTGGTCAATTGTCTCAATGGCCAAAAAGCTCAAAAATGGATAGTTTGGCCGGTACAGAGCTTTAAAGCTCCGAGTATCCTCCACGGATTTATGTATATGCGCAGTGTGTATAGACTTTTGAAATAGCCTATTTAATTTTTTTTATTATCTAGGTTTATATTTTTGAGGTTGCTGAATTCAATTCAGATATGTTGTTAGATTTTCAAAATTGACAGTTGGCAGCTGTCAAATAGCTGTCAATGTGCTATAATAAAGCCAAAAACTTGTTTTTTTATGTTTTATCTTTCTTTTTTTTTTAGTTCGATAAGTTTAAAGATGATATCAAATCAATAACAATGACTATCGGCAGCTGTCATTTAGCTGTCAACAATTCTTCAAAGTCCGGTAATAAAGTCAAAAAATTATTTTTTGTTTATAACTTCAAGTTTTTTTAGATAAGTGAATATAAATATGATATAAAATTATGTAGTCATCGGCTTACAGCTGTCGACAAGCTGTCAACAAGCAATAATAGAGCAAGTAACTTATTTTTGTGATTAACTTTGTGGATAAGAAATCAAACATGATATAAGTTTATGACATCATTTTTGAACTCAGTGATCTAAGCAACTTAAAGTTTTTTTAAAAAGTAACTTTTAACATGGAACATGTTCATAATGAGGGGGTACTTCGCGAAGGCCTCCACTTAGGAGGGGGTGAAAATGGTCAGTTTTAGGAAGGGGGGGGGGGTGAAACGGGACTTAGAAGAATTTCGATTTAGGGACTTAAAATAATTTCGTTAAAGGGACTTAGGATAATTCGGCTTTAGGGACTTAGAATAATACTTTTTATTAAACTTGATTATTGGTTATCCGTAAACATGTTCTATGCCCGTCAATTGTGTTTACACAACTCGGTTTTGACAGTTAGTTGATTGATAGGTGACAGCTGTAAGCCGAGAATATCCTCGAATGTTGCCACATGCAAATAATAATATATAGGTAAAGGTCGGTTTATTATGTTATTAACTTGTTCATATTAAAAAATAGATTTACACTTTCTTTCTCATTAACCCTTTCCGAGGCACCGGTACATATTTGTACCGGCTAGATTTTTTGCTTGTTACCCCCGTATCTGCTACAATTCGGACTTTGGATGGTTGACTATGGGCATTTCATGTCGCTAAGAGGTTCCTGAAATTAGTCCTAGTGATTTTCCACGTAATTGTTTATTGTTATTTAATTATAAACAATTGAAAGTGAAAAAACTGCTTTTTTTCGGAAAAAAATCGTCCACTCGAAATCTGGTACTTTAGTATATGATTTTAGTGCGTGTACCGATGTTTTGAAGATTGCTGAACACGATGCTGGTGGCCAAAAGTGCATTTTGACAGCTGTCAGGTGTCAAATCGGGTGCCAAATGGCGACGGTAGAAAAGTGAATTTAAGCATTACTAAAAGAGTAAAAGCCAAAGTTTCAACATTAAAAAATAATTGGGAATAAACTTTAACAATAACAAGAAGCATGTTTTTTCTATTTGGAAATTCTTTGCTTACAGCTGTCCCCTATCAATCAGCTAACTGTCAAAATGCAATAACAAAGTCAAAAAGTTACTTTTTTTAAAAAGCTTTAAGTAGCTTAGATCACTTTAAGCACAAAAAATAAGTTACTTGCTCTATTATTGCATTTTGACAGTTAGTTGACAGCTTGTTGACAGCTGTAAGCTGATGACTACATAATTTTATATCATATTTATATTCACTTATCTTTAAAACTTAAACAAAAAATAATTTTTTGACTTTATTATTGGACTTTGAAGAATTGTTGACAGCTAAATGACAGCTGCCGATAGTCATTGTTATTGATTTGATATCATCTTTGAACTTATCGAACTAAAAAAAAAGAAAGATAAAACATAAAAAACAAGTTTTTTGGCTTTATTATAGCACATTGACAGCTATTTGACAGCTACCAACTGTCAATTTTGAAAATCTAATAACAGATCTGATTTCAACAACCTCAAAAATATAAACCTAGATAATAAAAAAAAATGAAATAGGCTATTTCAAAAGTCTATACACACTGTGCATATACATAAATCCGTGGAGGATACTCGGAGCTTTAAAGCTCTGTACTGGCCAAACTATCCATTTTTAAGCTTTGTGGCAATTAAGACAATTGACCAGTATGATGAACTCTATCACATATCAAAAATTCAGCGAATTTGACCGGGACCCAATTTCCATAAGATTTGTGGGGGGTCCTTTGTGTAATGAGTCCAATTATTAAACTTTATCGAAGTATATTGTGGAGTAAATACAGAATAATAGTATAAATTCTTGTGTACGAAGTTATAGTGATGTTGCGGTTGTGTTAATAAAGAATGTAACGAGACAATTCATTTATTTTGATTTCCACAAAGAAACGGACTAAGGCTAAGTTATGTTAACGGTAAACCTTTATCCATATTTTTGGATTGACGTTATGTTAAGTCTTACAACCCTCAATTCACTGATATTAAGTAGTTAAAGATTTTTAACTACCAGTCAGACAAAAATTTTCTACCGTTCTACTGATCCTGATCGATCAACTCATCATTAATCATGACTACAATCTCACCTCAAAGAATACAAAAAAATCGTCAGACAAAAACAGAGAGATACATGGAGATCCTACTGCGAAGAAATCTAAGATTTCCCGCAGGCAGCGAGGCTTCAAAAAGCTCTCTCAAAAGATCCATACCAAAGCATTGGTGCGCTAATCAGAGGATGGCACGAAAACTGCCAACCTCGAAGATTGCATCAAACTTCTGCTGTCAACACACTTCCCTGACTCAGTCATCACGGACGTGGCTGACTGGGCAGCATCTGTCTATGATTGGCAAATTGTCAAACACATTGTAGACAATGAAAGAATTAGATGGATAATATCCAGTTTCTCTCCATTTAAATCTCCAAGACCTGACAGTATCTATCCAGCCCTCCTTCAGTGGGGTCTGGAAGAACTCACACCGCACCTGATGGGTATATTCAGATCCTCGTTGGCTCTAAGGTATATCCCCCAAAAATGGAGAGAGGTAAAAGTGGTATTTATACCCAAACCTGGAAGGATGGATTACACTGTCCCAAAAACATACCGACCAATTAGTCTGACATCGTTTTCCATGAAGACATTGGAAAGGCTATGCGAAAGGTACATAAGGGATGCGGTGATTACAACAACACCACTACACCCAAACCAACATGTATACACCCCAGGCAGATCTACTGATTCAGCCCTTCATCTAGTTGTTGGCCGGATAGAAAGATCCCTGGACAATAAGGAGTCCGCCTTGGGTATTTTTATAGACATAGAAGGTGCTTTTAATAAAACCACCTTCCCAAAGATAATACACTTACTAACCAACAGGAATGTTCCACAAATGGTTAGTGGGTGGATACATAACATGCTCTCAAACCGAGCAGTAAACATAAGTTTTTCCTTCCCAGCAAACACAAACATGTAACATATATGTATCATTTACATGTACTAGTTCCGTGTTACATAACAAAGTAACTTACATGTTACATAATAACCCATGTGATTACTGTGAAAAATGACCTAATTTTGTTATATAGCAGGTTCCTTATATGTGATGTAATGGGTTAAGTACATGTAAGGAACAGTGTTATATATCGGAAGACATGTAACATTTATATTACCATTGTAACATCTAATATGCTTCATTATTACAGCACATATACATTACTTTTTTCATATAACATTAGTATTATAAATGTTATATAAATGAAGGTATGTAAATGTAGGTATTAGTTATACAGTGTGTCTACTTAAGTTGGAATAATATGGAAAACTCTTGTATTATTGACTTTGTAAAAAATGTATACTTGATAAAAAGTTCTGCATGGTCTAAAACTTAAAATGCAACCATCAGATATAATCCGTATACGAGGTTTTTCTAAAAATATGAATTTTACTCAAGAGTAAAATACCTTTATTTTTTACAATACAGAAGAATATTATAAAGTAAAGTACTTTGAATTAAAAGTTATATTAAAATATGCAATTACAGTCATTTAGGATGAAAATTCAGGTTAGGTGATTATTTACGTTTTACATTATAAATAATTTGTAGTTATAAATTAATTAATCACCAAACCTAAATTTTAATGCTAAATGGCTGTAATTGCATATTTAAATATATCTTTTAATTTAAAATAATTTTACTTTATAACATTCTTCTGTATTGTAAAACATAAACGTACTTTATTCTTGAGTAAAATTCATATTTTTTGGCACACAGTGATGGTTGCATTTTAAGTTTTGGACCATACATGGCTTTTTATCTAGAATAAATTTTTTCACATAACCAATAATAAAGTTTTTCTATATGGTTCTTAAGTAGAGACACTGTATGACAAATACTTACAAAAAAAAACGTCGAAAATATTTGGAGGAATAAAGAAAAGTAATTTAAACGTATTTGTTAGGTATATCAATAATTTTATTGGACAAATTCATAACCGAAACCAAAAATGTATTATAAAAATATTGCACACAAATATAATAACCTAAATTCATCATAAAAATCACAAAATATCTGCAATTAACGACCATCCACGGCCTCAAAATTCAGCGCCCCATATCAAGCATGACCTGAAAAGAGAACAAAAATTAATATTTACACCTCAAATGTATCATCGAAATACAGTACACACATATAGTAATTCAATTTCATTATAAAAACACAATATACCTGCTATTTTCCACAATAAATCCATAAATGCCACAGGTACCACCATAAAACGCCTATAGGCGCCATTGAACATTGAAACGCTACTAAAAATAATGCACCAGATATACCTACTTACCTAAAAACATGCGTATTTCAAGGACCGTTTGGTCAACAGCATTTATTTATATATACGCTCTGTAACATTTTGAACGAAATAATTTAGTACAAATTGTTACTTTAATGTAGATTACATATAGATATATAAATGGATATAATCTTTACGTGAAGAAATTTATGTAACGGATATGTAATTTTGTAACATATATTTTAATTATATACATGGTATATAACTATGGTGCTAAGTTTGAACTTAGGTGTTCGGTTCCATAAATAACACATAAAAGTGCATACAAGACAGTCTAAGTATATTTTACCCTTCTTAGTTATGTAACAGGAGGGAACATGTAACAGAATGGTTTGCTGGGTTGTAGTTCTTGGGTTTTTAGGTATTGGTTGAGGAATGAAACTCGTGTATGTGGGTAAAGCTTTCGGCACTGATCAGTGCCTTCTTCAGTAGTTTTTTTTTTTTTAATAATATTTGTACATTTTTTTTACAGTCAAAATTGTTCTTAAGTACATGTTTGGGTGTGTCATTATATTTGTTAAATGTTTGAAATCCTTTTTTTATATTATTATTATTATTATGTAATTAATTTTTATCCTTGTCATGTCCGTTTTACAATCTCAACGAATACTACAGCACCAAAAACTTTTATAAAGTACCAATAGTAAACATAAGTGTAGAAGATGAGAATATAAGAGGCTTGGTTGCAAGGGGATGTCCACAGGGAGGGGTGCTATCACCTCTACTGTGGAATATGGTCCTCGACACCCTCATCAGCCGCCTCAATAATGACAGCCATTACACAATAGCATATGCAGATGACCTGGTCATTCTGCAAACAGGGAATTCTAAGAACATACTCTGCGAAAGAATGTAAAAGACAGAAATGGTCCTTTTCACAAGGAAAAGGATGAAAATGGAATTAAAACCTCCAGAACTCCTAAACACAAAACTAAACTTTGCAACAGAGGTGAAGTACCTAGGTCTCACCTTTGACAGCAAGTTAACATGGAACTCGCATTTAGAAAACAGAGTTAAAAGAGCATACATTGCTTATGAACAATGAAGCCGAACTGTGGGGCGCACCTGGGGTTTCTCCCCCAGAGTCGTCGCATGGACTTACACGGCTATCATAAGACCTATGCTAACATACGGTGAAGTTGTATGCATGGGTACCGAAAACCCAAAAATTAACAGCTAACCGTAAACTAGAACAAATTCAAAGAACAGCATGTCTCATCATAACAGGAGCCATGAAAACAACACCGACTAGAGCCATGGAAGTCATTCTTAGTCTCACTCCCCTTGATATATACATCAAGTAGGTTGCTCTGAGGACAATGATACGCCTACGTACGGTCGGAATAGAACCCGATGTAGGATCTGGTGAGGCGAGACGTCACATTTGGCAGGAGGCGCTCGAGCGCTCCCACTGCTTCAAGAAAACATGGACCCCATCTCACCTAAATATATCTTTCATAAGCCATATAAAGTTATAGTAGAACAAATAGAAGAGCCGGAAGTGGCAGGTATGATTCATATTTACACCGACGGTTCTAAAACAAAACAAGGCTCATGATGTGGTATATATTCCAGATTCTTAAACCAAAACATAAAATGAGCTGTGAGCAATAGTGCCAGTGTAGTTCAAACAGAGCTAACAGGGATTCTCATAGCTGCAAAAGAAACAACCAGAAAGAATATCACTGGAAAGTGAACATGCTCACCTATACAGATAGCAGACAAGCACTACTCATCCTGAACAAACCACGAATTTATTCAGAGTTAGTACTAGAATGTCACGAAGTTTTGGCCGAAGTATCCATCAATAATGTGGTCACCTTAAGATGTATTAAAGGTCACGCCACATCGAAAGGTAACCGTCTTGCTGATTCAATAGCCAAGAAAGCAGCCAACCAAATACTTTTTGGACCTGGCCCTTCTATTGGCCCAACAAAATCGGTAGTGACAGACCTAATCAAAGAACATTCCCTTGTGAAATTCAAGAAAAGATGGGATGAAACAAGATACTGCAGAGTTGCCAGGGAGCTCTTAAGTTATCCTGACAACACTGCAGCAAACAAATATTTGACTATGACTAGACAGTATCTGCGCCTAGTCACAGGCATTCTGACTGGTCATTGCCAAGTACGAAAGCATCTCCATATCATGTGGCTGTCAGAATCCGTACTCTGTATAGGGTGCGAACAAGAAGATGAGACCATCGAGCATATCCTTCACGATTACTCGACACTCTTATTTATTAGAAGATTTGTGGCCAATATAAGAGAAGCATCTCTTGGCGATGTTGTCAACTTCATTAAATATAAGAGCTAGGAGGAGCCTATCATCTCAGGATGATGCACAATGGGCCTAATGAGGCCTAAGTGCCGTGGGGTAACCCGCCCTCCACATGTTACAGATACAGATGACTGCAGTGGGATTATCATCTTTCAATACGGCACGTGGTGAGACGCCTATCTTCGTTCGACAGAATGCGATTCTAATGTAATTTCTCTCTTTATTTTACACGTAAAGTGTTAAGTTTGCACATAAAAATCCCTGTCCCAATCATGTTGGTCGGTTTTCTTCTTCACTATACCAGTGGTTCCCAAACTTCTATGGCGCCCCCTTTTTGAAATTTAGAAGTGGTCATGCGCGCCCCCCAGTTTGGAAATCACTGTACTAGACGACGTTTTATACCAGACAGGGTGATTACTTAACACACCCTTAGATATATTTGTAGGTATTAAACAAAATAATTGGAAAAGAACTCATGCCAAATTCGAGTTTTGCAAATGGTGAAGCTTTTTTTACAAGTCCATAACCTATATGGCATAGATTTCGAGTTTCATTTATTTCATAGGAGATTGCCATATTTAAGAGGTTAATTACATATTTTTCTCCACTTTGGCAACACAACAATTTGTGGTTGTGGCGATTAATGTTGTGGCTTACACGATATTATCATGTTGGAGCAATTAATGACGTGACACACTGTATTTGAATTTTATAGTATTATATTGGATAATTAATTATAAATTAAGCTGTGTTAAAATGTCCTTACCTTAAATTCAACAAATCAATGTTCCCCAAACAAAATTCGCCGCCCCTTTCTTCAGAAAACTTAAAATCCTCCTTAAACGTCAAAAACAACAGACATCAACATGCATCAACAAAAAAATATATTTGATTCTCACCTGCTCTCTTTTGGGAAAACTTTTTACCATTATATTTCAAACGCACACAAAAATTTTTTTTTTATTATTCTCGCTGAAAATTATATTTTGCACTGACTCTTCCAAAAAAATGTTCACGAAACAACGGAAGATGGTTGTCAAACATGTCATAAATATATGCTACAGGAAGATCAAGGTAAGAGTGGTGAAAGTGAGTAATTCATTAATTTGTAATATTTATTGGAAACTTATAAAAAAATTAAGTGAAATCTTCGAGCATATAGAGTCAGCATCCAAATACACTATAGGTTTGTTCCAACAACGATCAGAAACCAGTCACCGATACCAGGATTCTGCGCTGTACATAATTTGGCGGTCGAAATAATCAACTGCGCAGAATCCTGAGGGGCGTTTGATTTGAAACTCGATCGAGCGAGCGTCGAGGAGACCGAGAAGTGATGACGTCACAATAGAGCATTAAATCAAATCAAATAAAACAGAGTAAAAAACATAACCTCGCTTTTTTGTGATTCTGGTTTGTGTGTCAAAATAGTGAGCAAAAAGTAAAGAAAATGGAAAAATTTTTTAATAATAAGGGGTAATGGCCCTGAAATGCAGCATTTACCACAAATGCCCGCTTCGCTCTCATACTCCTAGCCTGTCATTACTGGTGATTAGATCTGGACAGAGAAAATGTATTTTCCAAACACACATTTTGTGTTTTTTATTACGAATAATTTTAGCTATAAGACAAAAGCGGCTAAGTAATTTGTTGACTTCTTGTCTGGTCTTTAATTTTGAGATTCAAATTTGTTTGTAAGTTAGTTAAAAGGAGATAGGTAGAGACAAAGACAAATTTCTCCCTCTTCTCGATCCATCTGCTCTGAGAACATCGAGCTCGCTCTATGTTCTCGCTCCAAAGCAAAACAAACACTTTAGGGATCTCTCGGAGTGTCAATTCAAACACGTTTGCAGCGCTCGGAGATCTCCGATGATCAAATCAAACGCACCACTGGTGTCAGTGACTGGTTTCTGACTGTTGTTGGAACAGACCTTATATTTTGATGCCGGGAGAAAAATATAGCGTCCAGTATTCTCATTGGTCGGTTTTGATTTGCGCGTCATGTCTAATTATAATTTCACAAGCAGCCATTATCGTCTCTAATATTTTTTAAAAAGAAAATACATTTAATGCAAATAATAAAGTCGTAAACTTAAATTTAAAATATACACATTATAAATTAAGAGAACTAAATTTAAAAGACCACATTGAACTATTATTTAGTGCGATAAGAAGACTGGATGAAAACAACAACTCTACTGCAAGACAATTTGAATCAATTTACAAAAGACTTCTAAAGTCATATAGAAATAAGGGGCAGCAAATTTAGATTTACATTTTAGATTTAGATAATACATGTATTTTAATTGATTTATTAAGTGACAATCAGCAAATTAATAGAACATTATAAGAAGAACCCAGTGAGTTCCAAATAAGATTCTGTTGGTCAAACTTATCTGCAGCTTAGGTTTATCAGGTATATTTGTCGGCAACGTGTGGCGGGTGGGATGCACCACGGCACTTAGGCCTCGCCAGGCCCATTGTGCATCCTCTTAACTTGATAGGCCCCTCTTAGCACGTCTGCCAATCTACAGATTTTACAGATTTGATGTAGTTGACAACGTCACCGAGAGGTGATCTTATTAAAACGGTGGTATTGGCCAATACGCGCCGAATACTGATTTTCTAATAAATGAGAGCTTCGAACAATCATAGAGGATATGCTAGAAGATCTCATCTCGTTTTCACCCCTTGCAGAGTTTGGATTCTGACAGCCGACAGCCCTGTGCTATGGAGATGGAGATACTTGGCAGTGACTAGTCAGATTACTTGTGGTCAGGCGCAAATTCTGTCTAGTCTTCCAAATATTTGTTTGCTGTAGTATTGTCGGGACAACTTAAAAGCGCCTTGTCAATTCTGCAGCTTCTTGTTTCGTTTCATCTTTCCTCGAATGTTCTTTAATTAGGTTTGTCACTACTGATGTTGTCAGTCAAATGGAAGGGCCAGGTACAAAAAGTATTTGGTTGGCTGCCCTCTTGGCTAGTAGATCAGCCACACGGTTATATTTGCTGTGGCGTGACCTTTGATCTATTTTGAGGTGACCACATTGTTAATGGATACTTCGGTCAAAGCTTCTTTGCATTATAGTACTAATCCTGAGTAAATTTGTGGTCTATCCAGAGCGAGTAGTACTTGTCGTCTACTATATGTATAGATGAGCATGTTCCTTCAAGTTATCTGGTTTCTGATTACTTCTTTTGCTACTATAAGAATCCTAGATACCTAGGTACTTTACCTCTGTTGTTTTGTGTCTAGGAACTATGGAGGTTTTAGTTCCATTTTTATCCTTTGTCTTGTGGAAAGCACCATTTCCTGTCTTTTTGGGATTGATAGACAGTTAATGGTTATTGCACCACCGATTTATAATTTTGAGAGCTACTTTTGCATTCTTTCGCAGAGTGTATTCTTAAAATACCCTGTTTGCAGAATGACCAGGTTATCTGCATACGCTATTGTGTAGAGACTGTAATTATTGAGGCTGCTGATGAGGGTGCGTCGAGGACCATGTTCCACAGTAGGGGTGTTAGGTCGCATTCCTGTGGACATCCATTCGCAACTAAGCCTTTTATATTCATATCTTCTACACTTTTGTTTTACTGCTAGCTTTGAGAATATGGTATGTATCCACATACTCACCATAAGTGGAACCAACCCTAAAGGGTACCTTAGGGTAAACAAAAATGTTTTTTATATTAATTAAATCATGCTATTTTAAAAAATGGTATTTATTCTCACGAAAACTGACTAGCTCCACTATCTCAAACTTGATATATGACGTAAAAGTGTTAATGCACTTTCAGTATCGCAATAGAATCTCCTCTTTATTCTATATCAATGCTTGGAAAGATGCGTATGCCCTGCCCATGGTGATGGGCCCCGCCATACTTTGTGACGTCACGCCTTGATTATTTGCGATGCACAAAATAACGCGATTTAATTGATTTTAAGGGCCCCACTCACCTCGTTCTTCTTTGCCGTTTTTAACCGACGGTTAAAAACGTTGGAAGGAAAAACGTTGACTGATATGTCCACACACAACAGTTTTTTGTGCGCCAGTTTATCACGATGGACCCTACGTGCTTGTTAGCAGCGGCAGCGGTTTTGGCAGTGGAAAAAAAATCGTGAAAAAATAAAATCTCGAAGAAAATGGACTAAAGACTGGCTACTTAAACGCAGTACACTGTCACAAACAAATTTACTGGAGGAGATAAGATTGGAGCCTGGTGATTGGCACAATTACTTGAGGATGGACGAGGATACGTATCGGAAACTGTTAAAACTATTAACACATTGATAGACATAATACCCATTTACGGGAATGCATCAGTCCTCACGAACGCCTAACAGCTACTCTGCGGTTTCTGGCCACTGGCCGCAGCTACGAGGATCTGAAGTGTTCTGTTATTATTTCACCGCAGGCACTAGGGCGCATAATACCCGAAACCTGCCAAGCTCGATAAACTTTAATAAAAAATCTCTGTTCCACTGCTTAATATCCGACATTTTTATTGTAAATAATAATAATAATAATAATAATAATAATAATCAACAAAAACATGCTGAACGTCACTGCTACTAATAAATGCCCGACCAGTCAAACTGTTGAGAACATACACCTCGTGTTTACTCGAACGGTTGGCACGATAACCGTCAAAAATCAAGACTCGCCTGAAATTTTGGAACGACGTTCATAAACGACGTTCTTGCCCATACACCTTGTTTTTGTGACATTTTTACCTTGACGTTTTTAACCGTCAGTTAAAAACGGCGGAGGAGAACGAGGTGAGTGGGGCCCTTTAAGGAAGTACATTCCGTGAGTTCGAATAGAAACTCAGGTTGCTCTGAGTTCATTTTCGCGTTTTTTTAGAGATTCGGAGTGTGATCTGTCGCGTTTGATATGACTCTGAGTATGGACTCCGAGTGCACTCTTTTAACTCTGTGTTAGAAGATCGAGATCTGTCGGGAAGTTAAATAATGAAATGTCAATTATGTCAATGAACGGCACATATTAGGTTTGTTCCAACAACAATTTTGGGACCATACATAAACCAGTCCACAACTTATTGTCGACGACTGATAGTCGACGACCTGTCCACGACCTGTCGAGGATTGGGACGCGATTTGGAACTTGGATGTGTTGGAACACATTTTTGTGTTGTCAGACACACTCTGTTAATAACGTCAAAGTAAAGGCAAATTTAACAAATGTAAAATTTTGAATTTGGGAACTAAAAAAATTATAAAACTCATGAAAATATTTATAAATTTTGATTATTCGATTTTTAGAGTTGGTGGTGGTTTATTTACGAGCTCACTTTCGTTTTTCGCATATCTTTACAATTCGTTCATATTCCCACCCAGGAACTGATTTGACAGTACAGAAACTGGTTTGTGATTAGGTTTGGGTGTGTTGGAACACTAGGTTTTTGTACAGTTTTGAGTCCGAAGTATGTTGGAACACCAAATCTAGACTGCGCAGAATCCCGACAGTACGGAAACCGATTTGCTATTGTGTTGGAACAAACCTATTATTAGGCATTCCAAACTGAATGGCTACCAGTGGGTTTTGACGGGTTATGATATGGCAAAATTATGGCAACCTTGTAGGCCTGGTGATTTGACAAGGTCAATGAAATAGATAGTTACATAGATTGATCATCATTTATTTTTTCAAAATAAACATAAGCTTATGCCTTGAAGTAAAAATGTAAGCAATTATTTTTTTTAAATATCTAAAGGCTAATAATTGGTTTTAAAACACATTTTTGCTAAACCGATTCAAATTAATACATATTTGCCAGGCAATATGGCCGCTCGTAAACGACCAGCTTTGAGCAATCTATATAACTATGTATGTATCATTGACCCTGTTAATGACAACTTGACAACAGGGTTGCCATATCTAAACTGTCATTACCCACTGGTAGCCATTTGGACAGGTCGTTGGAATGCCTAATTGTTCTGTAGGTTTGTACTAGGTAATATTTGTATTTTAAAATTATTTATAGATTATTATAAGTAAATTCTGTAAGTTTATTTTATTTTATTCTATTGTAATGCATAATAATAAAGTGACCGTTGACTGACATACGGGATTCAGGTTATGATTTTTACTCTGAGTGACAGAGCGCGTTCGAGATGTTAATACGTTCGCTCTCTGACTCGACAGGACTCTGCTCATGCCC